ACGGAGCCTTGTGAGTTTTCAATGGACTCTGTGATGTCGGCACAGCTGAATGGCACACAAGTTGGTGATGGTTGTGAGGATGCTGGTATGGTGCTGCCAGTTCAGTACTGCTGCGAGAACCGGTGGTACCACCGGTACGGTGCTAGTATTGCGAGCGCATAAGTGAGTGGATACAGCGTACGACTGTACAGAACTACGATGTGGCTAGCTAGTATCACAGACGTGCAAAGTTGTTTCCCCCAATTTCAACACATCCATTCTGCGCGCCAGCCTAGAACTGCAACCGCATTGTCCTTCTTTTGGCTGAAGGCCCAAGACTCAAGACAGCATGCAGGCATGTCGGTACGGTAATGCACTTACTTTTAAAAAGGCATTGTTACACTACAACATGTCTGATTTGCTTCAACTATTGTTAAATCTGCGTAGGTGGTCTGATAGCCACTTTCCATCGCCACTCATCAAGACACTACGACTGTACCATGGCGTACTCGAGTGCATACTCAGTATTGTACCGGTGGTACCGGTGCAGTCACCGACCCACTCAGATAACAGCCACAGAACTGCTCCTACATGTAGACTACCGTAGAAACTCATAGCTAGCTAGTCTAGCTAGTAGAGCTAGAGTTTCTTTTTCTTAGAATCTTTGAGGCTTGTTGTTTGGCTATTACCGCAACAGAGGCCCAAAGCCAGAAGGGTTGCGATTGATTGCGCCGGATTCTGTTGGACCCCTTCGACGAGATACCCATAGGAGTGAGGCGCCAGGCAGCTCCATTCGAGAGTCCAGAGCATCTTTTATCCCATATCTGTCGTCCCCAATGGTGACCTTTACAATCATCGACGAGACGAACACCACCGCTATCCAAGAGATAGCCACAAGTATGCCTTCTTCAGACATGGAAACCACGACAGCAGACTACATGGATTACAGCGAAGAGCGTGCCAAAATTGGTGCTATTCTTCCAAAGCCCTTTGCACTGCTATCCTTGATCTGTTCGTACGTCATGATTCGAGAAGTTATTGCAGAGCACAGGTTGAAGAGGGGCCGACCGATGTTGCGAATGCTCTTGGCAATGGCGATGGCCGACATCTTCTACAGCTTTGCCTCATTTCTTGGCACTTGGCCAGCACCTGGAGATGTGGAGCACACGATGTATGGAAACATTGGTTCTCAGGGTTTCTGCACATTCCAAGCATTTGTACTTCATTTTGGATTGATGGCATCTGTGCTGTCAAATGCAGCTCTATCAATCTACTATCTGAATGTGGTGGTTTACAGAAAGACGGACAGAGACCTGGAGAAAATGGAGATCTATCTTCAGTCCTTCATTTGGATTGTTTCATTGGTACTTGCAATCTACCCAATTCCCATGGAACTTTACAATCCAGATGTAGACCTCTGTTATCTTCAGTCAATCCCTGCGTTTTGCTCTGGTGACGACTGCATCCGCGGCTCTGACCCTTTTATCCCTCATATGATCGCCCTTGGGATTCCATTTCTATTTTTGATGCTCAGCACTTGCATCATGATTGCCATTACTATTCAAGTGAGAAAAGTGGAGAACAAGAGCCGCAAAATATGGAGCAAGCAGCATTGGCCCGCCACCTAGTGGTCTGAGTATGACTCCACCCAGTGGCCTGAGTATGGGAGCTAGTGCCTGCAGTGTCGATGAATTCAAGGACGACATTCCTGCTCCTCCGCCAGTGCGTATCACAAAAGTTGAAGTGGATCGTCGCAAGTCACAAGCGGGTACGTTCCATTCGATCAAGTTGCTTCTTGGCTGGCTTTGTGGCTGACGCATTTGATGCTCTTTTCATGGATCATGTTAGTGGCAATACAAGGCATTTGCTATGCGGTTGCATTTCTGTTGAGCTACTCATTGAGTTATGTGGCTATCATACGGTTCCATATAAGAGGCAGTGGAAATGATATATTGGATTATATTGCCCTGTGCATCTTGGCACCTTCTGCTGGGACTTTCAACTACATTGTCTTTGCGCGCACAAGGGTCATGAAGACTCCTGAGGGGAAATTTCTCAAGGCGTTGTTCTTCTGTACCTGCTTGCGCAAGAACGAGGAGATCAAACGTAACAGCCAACAAAAATTCAGGAAGTCTGCACCGGATCAAGAGCTCCAACACTGCCAGCCAGCGACTGTGTCAAATGACCTTTACATTCCAGATCTGGACATCCCGGATCTGGAGGAATCACCACAGGTCTCCGGAGTCAGAGAATCTGGTTCTGAAGATGCGGGTGTCATTGAGTAATGAATGAACCTCTATAGCTCGGGTACGGTGTCAGCGGAGACTTTACGGTACAGTACCGACGCCGCACGCCCGTAAGTTTTTCTGGGCTTACTGAGCAACTGGATACACCATGACAGTCAGTCATTGAATAAGGGTGACCGGCCCTTTCTGCGGGTAATAGCTGCAACTACGCACCCGCACGCCACCCATGTGGAAGTCAGACATAACCAGTAGGGATAAACCTGGAGACGCCGACCAACCTGCCATAGCTCTTCTAATCTACTAGCTAGAAACCTCCTTTTGCACGTATCTGATCAGTTGGTTGGGAAGATTTCTGTGACGGTGACCATAAGGCTGGCCTGGCTGGGGGGCGCCTAATTGATCCAATTCGATTCGGTTCATTCCAGCGTCCACTTCCTCGTTTTCTGCTTGTGGCTACTGCTATGATAATAGTAGCCAGCTTTCAAGCCCTCTCGCGACGGCTACCGGCACTTCATCCCAAACCAAGATATCCCCCCTCCTACTATGGTTACTACGTTCAGGACCGTCCGACGCTTTTCACTCAGGATTTAAAAATCTTCAAATTGCCACGACTGACAACATCTTTTAAACAACCCCTTAAACAACCCTTTAAACAACCCCTTAAAGCTTCAACATCCCCTTAAACAACCCCTTAAATAAACAACCCCTTAACAACATCCCCTTATATCCTCGAAACAACCCTTAAGCCTTCATTGAAACGCCATACAACAACCCCTTATCACGAATGAACATCCCCTTAAATAAACAACCCCTTAACAACAACCCCTTAAATATTCAACATCCCCTTAAACAACCCCTTAAAGCTTCAACATCCCCTTAAACAACCCCTTATGAGAACCAGGATTATGAGTCAGTCGTGCCCGTTTTTAAAGCCTGAGTGAAAACCGTCGGACGGTTCAGGGCACTGGCTAGCTAGACTAGCTACTACTGTACCGGTACGTTAACGATACTCTGGGCCCGTCTCCAAAGAACTGAAGTGGATGCCAACGTTGTGCCACTCCTCTCGGCTCCTGCGATCGGCACGACTTGATCGTCGCGCGCCAAGAGTCAAAAATTGCTTGGGATTGTTTGGGTCATGAACCGTACGTCAGAATATTCGCATTCAGCTGTCAAGCCGCAAGGCGCCTGGTTCATTCTTTGCCTGTTGTGTTGTTGTTGACGGTGTTGTTGGACCAAGCTCTTATACTTATACTCTAGCTAGCAATCAATTCCAACAAGACTGTCTACTACAGAACAAAGCAAAAACCAAGAGGATCCAGGCTATGTCAATTCCAGACACGATGAGCTCGGAAAAGGAAGACGCCGAAGCAGCTCCCGTGGTGACGGATGACGGTGAAGAGGATTCCAAGCCCCAAGCCACAAAGGACGGTGAAGAAAAGGAGGACGCCAAGGAGGAAGAAGAACAACCCAAAAAACCGAAGATTGACCCCAAAGATTGGCCCCTGAAGGATATCAAAGAGCCCAGTGACAATGATGTTCTTTTTGGTCGGGGAGGTGAGTGACTTCTACACCAGCATCGAGCGGTGTGTTTACCAGAACAGTGTCTTACTCCGTTGCTTGATGTATTGTCTACTGCATGGTGCTAATGATACAGGAGGAACCAATCATGCCAAAGGTGAGAAATAAGAAGCGATTTTCCGGTGATGTTTTTTGTACGTTTGCCTCACGGCATTTGAAATTTTGCTTCCCTGAAAAAGGCAACAAACGCTATCGCAAAATGGTGGAGGACCGAAAACTCGAATACGTCAACAGCAAGCGATTGGACAAGCCGCTGGTGGCGCTGGAGATTATTCGCTTGTGGCGGGCTCAGGATCCACCGGGGCGATTTCTGAAATTGGATAGTAATGGAACTTGGTGAGTTTTAGACAAGCCCATGGAGTGACAGTCCCTACTGCTTCATTCTCGTGTCTCACGTGGTTTCTTGTGTTATTTTACCCTCCTTCCAAAGGGCTGATGTGGGAGACAAAAAAGGTAAATTTTGTTTTCTGTTCCCGACTACAACAATTCTTCTTCTAATTTATTTTGTTATTCTGTTCTTCAATGAATTGGTGTTATTATAATAGCTCGAGAAAAGACCAGTCAAGCGTTGCGAGAAAAGGCCCCTCTGATTCGAAAGCAACAAGAAGAAGAACGTATGCAACAAGATGGCGACGACAACAGTGACGGTGAAAAAGATCAATCCACAAAAAACACGCGATTCGCCGAAGGGACAAACACCGAATCCAAGAAGGGATCCGTGAAAAAAGCCGTATTGGCACGGGACCACAGTCTAGGGAGGGAGTACTTGCAAGCTGGAGAGACCATGAACTTGGAGGGATTTTCATGGAGAGACCCTTTGGGTAAAGGCAAGAAAGGGCCGCCACCACCTGGAGGAATGCCACCTCCTAGCCACGGAGGAATGGCACCTCCCAGCCACGGAGGAATGCCTCCGCCTAGTCATGGGGGAATGCCACCACCACCGCCTCCGGGACAATTCCCTATTCAACAAACATTCAGCAACAGCAGTCTTGGAAGTTTTGGAATGCCGCCGCCGTCGGAATATGGTCGTGTGCCCAGTTTCGGTCCACCGCCTCCCATTGGGGGAACCTTCCATCGAGTACCCACCGACGAATACAGTCGACAAGGCTTTTCAAATCCTCCCGTCATGCCCGGGTATCAAGGTTACGGGCCATCCGCTCGATCTGGAAGTTGGACACACAATCAGGCACACGCCATGCCACCACTGCGAGAACACAGTCTGTCGCAACATCCACTGCGAAATGCTTCGGCAACTCACGCGGCGCCATTAAATGCATTTGACGACCGACCGAGCTCGGGATATTGGGGTGGACCTCCACCACCTCCTGGTCATCAACCCTTTAGTGGCCCTTATCGCGATGGCAGTGGTGGGCCTCCTCCGCCGCCACCAGGACAACAACCATACGGAGGTCCCTACCGCGAAGGCAGCGGTTCGTACCCACCACCTCCTGGACGCGGCATGATGCAACCGCCTCCACCGGTGACGACACACCATCCGCCTCCCTACGCAGTTGACCCAGCCATTGCCAAAACTTGGTCAGGACAATCGGACGAAGATATCTCGAGAATGTATCCAGGAGGACACCGACCGCCGCCATCTCAAAAACCTGACCATTTTGATCGCCCAGCCGACTTTGACGACCAAATGGCCAAACCGCAAATTATCAAGCGAATGACATCCAATCAGAATGAGACATTTGAAACCAAACCAGATCTCGTGGGACCATCGGTAAAACGAGCCGCACTCAACCGAGACCAATCTGCTGCTGCGAATCGACTAAAGGCTGCCAGTCTTCCCGACTACTACAACAAGGATGGCAGGTTGTTTGACCCTGTCAAGGAAATGAACAATCTTGCAGACAATATGGAACAGAGCACTTTGAGGGGCGGAGATGGTGCGCCTCCGGAAAAGAAACCGCTCGACGCCGATGAACGAAACACGTAAGTTCTTGAGGAGGAATGGCATGAAAAAGTTTATTTCGAGACGTCCTCGACTCAAACTTTTTGCTTGTTCTTCAGCACGTTGGACACTGTGGCCATGGAATTAATGACAAGGCCCGACGTTATTACTGACAATAGCAGAGCCAGGTTAGTACTCGTGGGTCTGCTCGAGTAAAAGTTGGTGGTTGATTGATTGATTTCGCTCATTTTTGCCTTTCGACACAACAGCACGGCGGAAGTTTTGGCACTGGACGGTCTCGAAAATGACCCTGCTATCAATGTTGACAATGAAAGTGCTCCGGCGCCCCCAAGACCCTCGGCCATGAACGCCAACAACCGAATGACGTACGTTATTTCGTCACATCTCTGCATGGCTCTCGTCACATCTCTGCAAGGCTCGTTCCGACTGGCGGTTTGTAGCTCACCGATTCCTTTCTCCTTGTCTTTGCCGCTGACAGTACCATGGAGGCTTGCTTCGCAGAGCTAGACGCTGTCACTGCGAAGCCAATGGCGTTGACTGGAACGGATCGGGTATCGTAAGTTTCTGGTGCTCTAGAGGATCTTTCTCTGCGTGTCGTCGCTCCCCTGCTGACAGTAATTGCTATGATTGCTTTGCTTTCAGAACTAGTGACTACCTTGACCTGGGCGACGGACCCCTCACAGAATTCGACTTTGACGGAATGAGTGGAAAAGCTGTCTAGCTACGATGGGGACGTGCCGGCACCGGGGTCGAAGGCGGATGCGACTTCCAGCAAGCTACCAGTAGTGAGGTTGTTGCGGTCCTAATCATCCTTTTAGTTTTGAGCTTCCCAGCTCCAAATACGTAAATTGCTCTTGTAGAATTTCTATGAACTAGACTCCCTTCCATTCTGGCAGCCCTGTGCTAGTAACGTAGGAGCGGAGCATTCCCCCAGGCCGGACGCAGCCTCTCCTGAATGAATTGATCTTTCTGAAAGATCTCCTCTACTGGTACCGTACATGTCATTGAATGGTGGCAATAGTTGGAATACACGCAATAGGATCGCACGAATCGAATCCCTTCAACCTATTCAATTAGTCTAGTCCCTCATCATACGAACCTGATGCAGCCTGGCCACTCACAAGGCCTGCTGAAACTCCACTTGATTTTGATTTGGAGTATCAGCTTCCCCGGGCATTGCATTCAGTTGTTGTTGCTGTTGTTGACTAGATTTTCGTGATCTGCGTTGGCTGGAACTGGTACGAGCAGTCTCCTGATCCTTTTGCAAGCACGTACAGCAAAAAATGGTTTTCAGTAGTTTCCCCTCTTGTGTCTTCATCATCCTCAACCCGGCAAAAACAATGTAGTTAAAAGTCCCAGCAGAAGGTCCAAAGACAGCAAATGCAAAGATATGCAAAATGTCATTCCAGCTACCAGTTGCATAGTATGAAATTATTGAGATGTAGGACAGCAGGTAGGTCATAAGAAAAGCAATAGCGTAGCAGATAGCTTGCGTGATCACTGGAACAATTTGGGATAGATACACAAGAGATTAGAAGGACAAAATGACACAAAACAACCAAACAAGTGTCTCCAGGAGGGTTTCAATTTACCTGCTTGGGACTTGCGTCGGTCCACTTCCACTAATGTGCGCCGCACTGCCACACGACTGCTGGGAACATCACCCATGAAGAAATCAGAAGCATTGCCACTGTTCACACTGGCTCCAGCACTGCCACGCGGGACCATGCTTTCAGCGCTGCTGCTTGGAGCCATACCTTCAGCTTCCGCACTGAATGGTGGTCGGATCATAATGCTACTTGCTCCATACTTCCGGCTCTTGTTCTCCAATTTCCTTACTTCTGTGGCAATGGCGACCATGATGCTCATACTCACAAATAGACAGACCAGTGGTGCTGCAATACCAATGAGGAGAGGAATCAAAGGGTCAGACCCTCGAATGCAGTCATCTCCAGAGCAATCTGGTGGCACTGACTGAAGGGTGCAGAGATCTGCTTCAGGATTGTAGAGTTCCAATGGAATCGGGTAGATTGCGAGCACTAAAGCTAGAATCCAAATGAGTGATTGGAGATAAATCTCCATTTTCTCTAAAGCTTTGTCTGTTTTTCCGTAGAAAATCATATTCAGATAGTAGATTGATAGAGCTGCATTTGAAAGGACAGAAGCCTGTAATCCCAATGACAAGATAAATCCTTGAAGGGTGCAGAAACCCTGAGAGCCAACATTTCCATACATGTTGTGCTCTACTCTGGAGGTGTGGGCCAGGTGCCCAAAAATATGGCAAAACTGAAGATAATGTCTGCTATTGCCATGGCAAGGAGCATTCACAATACCGGTCGACCTTTCTTTAATCGGTGCTCAGCAACAATTTCTCGAATCATGACATAGGAACAAAACATGGAAAGCAGAGCAAATGGCTTTGGAAGAACGGCACCAATTTTGGCACGCTCTTCTGAGACATAAACACTAATAAAGTCATCTGTTTCATCACTTCCTTGTGTGATGTTGGCTCCATTTTCGGTATGGTTCATTGCACTGGTACGGCTCCATGGACCCTTGAAGCGTTGTTTGAAGTCTCACTGTGGTTAGAGCCAGTGAACAGACTTGAATTTGGGAAACACCTGGGCCTTGGCTCAAGGTCGTCCTCACGCACTCCTTGCCTGAATCCTATAATAGATCTTGAGTTTTTAAAATGTGGTTAGAGTGGACTGTGGGGGGGATGAGCATGTACCGGTGGTCCTGGACCCTTGAGTTCGGACAAGAGACACGTTGGTGACACCAGTACTAATAATTACAAAATGGTCGACCACTGAAATCGGATGCTTGTGCTCTGCCCTTCATATACCGGGCAGACCCCGGTGATCTCTGAACACATTTATTGTGGTGGTGGTTGGTTGGTTGGTTATCCTTAGGGTTAGAGTTTATCTAAAAACGAAGCCCCCTCTTGGGCCCCCACATTTCTTACACATTCTCTTTTATAGCAACGGATCCTGAATATTTTCCTCACATTTGCACACCTCTAAACTCCCGTAAGCTACCACGCCACTTTCTCAGATGGAAAAATCTAATGTCTCACGTTGCACATCTCTAAAAAACTCCCGTAAGCTACCACGCCTCTTTCTCAGACGGAAAAATCTAACGTCTCATGTTGCACACTTCTAAACTCCCGTAAGCTACCACACCACTTTCTCAGATGGAAAAATCTAATGTCTCACGTTGCACATCTCTAAACTCCCGTAAGCTACCACGCCACTTTCTCAGGATCGTGCCGCAACGGTCATGATCCACCATTTGGTAGGATATTTGAATCGGATTTAGGGCAGAGTTTGAAACTCTACCCTATTAGGGCAGAGTTTCAAAACTCTGCCCTAAATCTTGGGTAGAGTTTGAAACTCTGCCCTAAACTCTGCCCTAAATCGAAACGGGACTGCGTAGACAGTAGTAGAGTTTCTACGTAGGCCGTTTCGGATTTAGGGCAGAGTTTGAAACTCTGCCCTACAGGGTAGAGTTTAGGGCAGAGTTTGAAACTCTGCCCTAATAATTAGGGCAGAGTTTAAAACTCTGCCCTATAGGGTAGAGTTTTCAAACTCTACCCAAGATTTAGGGCAGAGTTTCAAACTCTACCCTATTCGAAACTCTGCCCTAAATCCGGGATTCCCTTTGAGGCACGCTCCAGATGAAAAAATCTAACGTCTCATGTTGCACACCTCTAAACTCCCGTAAGCTACCACGCCACTTTCTCAGACGGAATAATCTAATGACACTACCTTCAGCCAAACTTCAACAATATTACTATGCCGGCCCATTTTTTAAGTCGGCTCGCCCGGTGTATCTATTACACCTCCGGTGTTCTTTTTGGTCGTTGAGGCGGTTCTCTCCAAGGGGGACCAAGGTGCACTACGCTAAAAGCTAGTGTAAAGATCTTTCGAGTGTTTTGAGTTTGAGAGAATGAAAGTTATGACAGGATTAGAAAGCTATGAAAACTAATCAACGAGAGAGATCCACAATCAAAGGATCGTAGATCTGAACTCCCGCGGGAGACTGTAGAGTGTGATAGAGTAGGTTGTGGTAGCAATCCTACTCACTCCACGATCCAAAAACGGAACGCGCGGAAGATTCGTCTAGCATTTATCTAGTAGCGTGGAATCTCTCCACGCCAGCTAAATATCTAGCGCGATGTTTCACCATCGACCTAGTATGACTAGCGGTCATGAGAACCCTGTCTCAATGACTATTCACGAAGGACTCAGTCATGAGTCGAACTCAAACCCTATCTAGGATCGAGTCGCGAATAAGGCTAAGAGCCGTGTATTGCATTCGCCCCCTGACAAGGGTCACGGAAGGCACGACATCAGTTGGACAAGGAGAACATATGAATTAAAGTGCGGGGCACTCTCCGGAGATTGGATGTAGACATGTGCATCGCACGATGGCAATCCTACAAGGGGATCAGGCCTTGTATGGGTGTAAATACCTTATGTTCCAAGTCTGGTAGACTGTGCCGCTACTGGCGGTAGTATGTCGGAGCCGTACAGTGCCGTTGTTATTGACTCGGTCTGTGTGGTAAGGACCTTGTGCTTTGGCTGACCGTATTAGCGGTGCTGATACTGATGAATCATCATAGCATCGTTGACATTGTGTTAATGAGGGACACGTGTCGTGTTGTCCCTATCGCTGTTTTTCTGGATAAGTCGTTGGCGACGTTCCTTGATGTATTTCCAGTTTGCTTCGAAACGGGTGTTGTGAATCTGGTCACGATTGACGCGCGTGAACTTGCGACGAAGTCCATGTTCATCCCGGAGAGTCTTCTCGACCTCTGCGCGGGACTCACGTTCTCTGTCCATGACAACCTCGGCCGGTCATGGATACGGGATAACCCACGTTTGTCTTAGAACGATGGTTACTTCGTCTGCTGTCTTGGAGCAGACTTTGGTAGTTCATTGGTCCAATGAATCCACGAAGTTCCTTCTTGTTCGTAGGAGGAGCGATAGCTGGATCGCATCTATTGTCCTTTATTTATGGGTTGGATTCCTTCTCGAGTAGTCCAATGGTCTAGATACTCAAGTTCTTCCTTTCGAGGAAGGCCTTGGTAGTGTTGATCTTAAATCCGACTTCGTGAAGTCTTTGGAAAAATTCATCTAACTATTCAACGTGATCTGCCAGATCGTCGTTAGTTAAGATGAGTTGATCATCGATGTATGCACGGACATTTCCTAAGTCGTGCATGCGTGTTTTCATCTTCCTTTGGAAGATGTCGGGACTATTACATAGGCCCATTGGCAACCTCTGGTACTCGTGCTTTCCCCACGGGAGTACGATGGTACAGAGTTGCTTCGAGTGAGGTGACAGCTCGATGTGATAGTATCCCATGTTCAGGTCTAGACTAGTAGCGTACTTGAATCCATCTGGATTCAAGAGCATGTCCTGTATTTTTGGGATAGGATAAGGCTTCCGCTTAATCCTTTTGTTCAGTTCCCGGAAATCAGAGATGAATCGTGCAGATCCATCTTTCTTGGGAATGATAAAAGTAGGTGCCGTCCACTCGGAACGGTTTATCTTTTTAAGTACTTCTGTCTTGCAGAGACGTTCAACCTCTGTCTTGAGAGTGTTGGTATGGACACGTGGAGTAGGGTGAGCCCTAGTATAATAGGATTTAGCGTCGGGACGAAGTTCTACTTCGTAGTCGTCCATTTGCAACTCTCCCAAAGTAAATCCTCGACCTGGGTCCCGGAGCACTTGGTTGAAAAGGCATGAGGCAGTTCTTGCTCTTCCCTTATTTAACTGGTTTCGACTCTGGCACATCTGCCTTAAGTCAGTTTGTTCGTATGTTGCATCAAGAATCTTTCTTGAGACTATTTGCATGCGCTGACAGCTGCAGGATCAGGAATGGAGAAGTTTTCCTTTCTATTGGTATCATGCCATTTTCGCAGGGAAAAATGCGCTGTTCCACTCCATTGACATGGTAGTGAATCAAACTTGATTCTTAGGTCGAGAAGAGTGTCTTGGACCTATGATCATGTCATGCGCCCACAATTCTTGGTGCGTGTAAATTCCATACGATAACTCTATTATCGTGGAACTCAGGAATCACGAGTTGTGCCCTTACACTTCGTGCCGGGTTTCAATTCCTTTACAAAAGACAGTCCGTAATTGTTTGGACGCCCCCTGATTCTTCGTGAGTAAACTCTTATCATGATTTGGAGTAATTAAAGTTCCGTATGCTCCTTTACATAAGCAGCACGGTTGTAACGGGTTTTTTGTTTCCTTTCTCCTCGTCTTTCAGGTGAACTGGGCTTCTGTGATTGTGAAATCGGGCGATCGACAAACTCTGTAGAACGGGACAATAAGTTTATTAATAAGTAGGTTGCGACTGACTGTTGAGCTTTGTCTTGCGACGTTTAGAGTTTTTGGCCATGGACGAGTTAACGATGCTGAATAGATCGTCAGGTTTAGTTGGCGTTCTAGGCAATTATCTAATTTGCCGTAGAGTTCATTAGTTGCAAACAATTCTTGTTTACTATTTAGTGAGATATCTTCATCACTTTGGTATGAGAAATCGGAACATGGTTCCGTTGAGTCATCATCCTGGCCTAATCCTCAGACGGAGATTTCTCCATCCGAATGATTGAAGTCGAATTCGGCAAGCGCCTTGTCGACGGCAGCCATTTTTCTTGTCCATCCATGTTGATGGAGTTCCAACAGAGAGAGTCGTACCTCGTTGTCGGAGTCGTTCTGACTTGCGCTTGGCAACATGGTTGCATTCGCTTTTCTTCTTGCGATCCAGCCTTGACGCAGCGTTGAAACTCTTCTTCATGAGGACAGAAGATTCCTTCTTGGTGTAGGACTTGGCGTCGTAAGACTTGCGTTTCCAAGTCTTGTTCTTGTTGTACGTGGCTTGCTATTCGTTGTCAGACGATGACAGAGACTTGGCCTTGAGCTTCTTCAGAGTCATCCAGTCAGCAGTGTTGTGAGTGGCTGGACTCGTGGTAGTCGCCACCATTTTTCTTCGTCTCTTGGAAGAGTGGTCGTTGTTGGGGTGGACTTGTACTTCTATAAGCTGTTGTGCTTGTTCTTCTTCGAGTAGCTTGCTTGGCACACCGCCCTTGTCAAGTCTTCGAGGATTCCATGCGTTCGCAGAATCCAATGGTTCCTCCTAGGAGCTGAGAAAGGATCGAAGTCGTGTTCGTCCATCTTTCTTCATCCACGAGCGTGGAATTCCATGACAAAAAATGTAATGACTTCGTCATGGTTCAACGTTTGGTTGGGTCCAAAAGGTGGTAGACGGAAGTCATCGGCGTTCATCCGACTGAGGTTGTTGACATAAGCCCGAGTAGTCATATCAGCGGCTTACGCATCTTGCGGCGCATGAAGCGTTTCTGCTTTTCAAGAGCCTTGTAGGGACAGACCGCTTCGACACAGGCATTTGCCAAACGTAATGTCAGTGTCGTCAAAGCAGGCTGAGCTGCCGTCCAGGCCTGGAACGTGCTTGGAAAGTGGCTTCGTCTTCACCGCCACGTATGTCGCGTGGAGCAATCGCGTTGACTGAATCTGGCGAAGGCATTCCAACGTATTTCACGGTGGCCTGACAGCTAGATTCGTAACTGCTCTTGGCAGAGCTAGAGTCATCTCCTTGAGGAGGTTATGTTTTGTCTTCAGGCGTAGCAATGGCGGCCCTATGAGAGCTTTCTTCATGTCCAGCCCACTTGATGGTTGATGTGGAGTCTCGATCCATTGATGATTGGAACTTAAGGTGTACTTGCGCTGTGCATCTGCTGGAACAGTGCGAGAGTTTGTAGGTGGTAGAGGCGGAATCGTCGATTTCGCATTCATCGTCGGGTCGATGAGAGGAAGGATTGGTTTGTCGCGCAGCTTAGACTCGAAGCTGGTGTAGCGTCTTTGGCAATCTTCATGGTGAGGAATAGGTTGAGGGTAGCTGAAGTATTGTGTTTGTTAAAAAAATGACTACGCTAAAAGCTAGTGTAAAGATCTTTCGAGTGTTTTGAGTTTGAGAGAATGAAAGTTATGAGAGGATTAGAAGCTATGAACTAATCAACGAGAGAGATCCACAATCAAAGGATCGTAGATCTGAACTCCCGCGGGAGACTGTAAGTGTGATAGAGTAGGTTGCGGTAGCAATCCTACTCACTCCACGATCCAAAACGGAATGCGTGGAAGATTCGTCTAGCTTTATCTAGTAGCGTGGAATCTCTCCACGCCAGCTAATATCTAGCGCGATGTTTACCATCGACCTAGTATGACTAGCGGTCATGAGAACTGTCTCAATGACTATTCACGAAGGACTCAGTCATGAGTCGAACTCAAACCCTATCTAGGATCGAGTCGCGAATAAGCTAAGAGCCGTGTATTGCAAAGGAGACCCGGGTAAAATAGCGCTGTATCAATTCTTCATCAGGGGTGCCCCCCTTTGGAACCGCGCAGACACACGTCGTCTCTGCGCTGGACACCATTCTTCCGAATGCTCAACTTTCTGGAAGTTGGAAGGCACCAGGTTTAACGTTGAACATCTCAACTTAGCTTGGTCTTTCAAAGATTCGGTGCGGATAGTTGCGCCGTTGGAAATCTTTGATCACACAACCCCGAGGACTGGATCTTTAGCTTGTACAGCTCGAGAAGTTGAATCTTCATGGCAATCCCTATTTTGGAGGGCTCAGTGTGGGTGAGGAGGTTGCTACAGCGTACTCTTCTTTCGAAGGGTCGGCTTCACAGGCTCCTCCAGCCAATGGCCTCGATTGATCACTCTCAAACCGGATACAGATGGGAAGATGTTTTAAAAGGAAACCTATGATGAGCTGGTCTGGTGGTACGTAGGAATAACGTAAAAAGCAAGATAAAATCCGAGCTGGAGGCTACAGTAGCTGCGTACCGGCATTGGTATGGTACTAGAAGTCAGCGGATAAGTCCCTAACTAGCTAGCTAGTGGCCAAGTAGAAAGAGAATCCAGCGCTACAGCCAAGCTCCCGGACCACACTTTCACGCGTGTATCTAGCTAGCTTGCAGAAGAGTGACTGCCGCGTCTCGAACGTACTGAGTCCGTCATGCTTCTACAGCTTACGGCTTCAACAGTTCAACAAAACTCGATTACATCAGCTGAGGGGTGTTGCAAATCACTGCCATCGGAATGCAGCGCCCTCGCTTACAGAGTACATCATGTAGATAGCTAGGCTGATGTTCCTCCCGTGGCAAGGTTAATGAGTAGATCCCTTGTAAGAGGAATGCTCACCAGGGTTGTCGAAGACACCGCCGTCAGCACCATAGCAATGGCAGCAAAGGGGAAAGCATCTGGTTCATCCGCCGTTGCCGAAACCCCCAGTCCTTGTCCAGCACCTCCCATTGTCAAGCCCCTAGTAATAGGATCATTGATACCGAATGCTTTCAGGACAGTTTTTCCGTAGGTTGCTGCGAATACACCTGTGAACACCACGGCGACAGCCGTCACTGAAAAGTCACCTCCAATAATCGATGCAATGACAATGGCGAGAGCGGTTGTTACGTTTCGGGGCAACAATGAAAGGCGGGCCAGCGTTCCATCGCTACCTCCCAAATTGATGGCCCGCACAAATGCAGCTGTTCCAAAAAGACCGCCCACACTGGCCACCATGACGCCAGTGAGAATGACCAAAAAGTTATCCGCCACAAGTTGCTTTCGAGAATACATGGACACAGCAAAGGATACCACGGAAGGTCCCAGCAACCACAACAGCACATCACCAGCACCCATTTCCAATGGATTCAGACTTCCAACTTTGTAACTTTTCAACACTTCAATCAAGTTGGATCCAACTCCCATGGCAATCAACTGAACGGCCACTAGCGTGATTGCCGAGCTGGTGACCAGGGGATGAACAACTTTGGTAAAACCAGCAGGCAACTGAACTGCCCACACAAATCCTGCCAGAGTACTCAAAATCAGAGCTGTAGTTTGCAAAGGAGTGGCAATAGTTCCCATATTGAGGCGAGTAGCCACAACACAGGCCAGCAATGTTGCGGCACAACCAATGGTGAGTCCCTTCAAGGTGTCATCGGAAAATGGCTTGGGGGCAGGGGCAGGAGCTTTGCCGTTCTTTTTGGCCTTGTTTTTATTTTTCGCTGGAGCTGCCGTCACGGCGGTTGGCTCGGCATTGCTAGCCCCTTGAGCCTTTCGCAATGCCAATACGGTAAATCCAATGGTACTCATGGAATACACCAAGCCGAGCACTACCACACCAAATGCCATGGCGATCTTAGCAGAGAAACAAAGAGGTGAATTGCAAACATGTTGTCAGTTGTTTTCATCTATCTCTGGACATGGTTTCCTCAGTTTGGTCCCTTCTTCTCCAATCATTTTATGTTTTATACGTACATCTGCTCCATTTCCAATGGAAGGAGCCAATGGCAACATGGCCAGTCCAGGGACAAAAAATGCAGGGAGCCATTTGGCCAACAAGGCCGCTCCTGGTTCCAAGTAGGCTTGAATAGCATCACCCCAACCAGGATGAATCTTCTGAGCAATGACAGCCACGGCAAAGAGGACAATACAGCCGCCCAATTGGGAGGGAAAATTGATTTTTGTCACGGCAAAAAACTTTTTGAGAAATGTCTCGATCAGGGCCATGACCACGACACCTGCAATGCCCTTGACGGGAAGGGAATCAAGGACATTTGCTTTTTGGGGAGGAGGCGGAGCGGGCTTGCCTCTGGCTCCACCCCGGATCACACTGGTGACGTCTTTCAAACTACTGGAGCCATCTTGTTGTTGTAAAGCTCTGGTGAACTGTTGTTGATTGTGGGTCCTCCTCAGGTCGGCCAAGGAGAGGGATTGCTTGGTTGGATGGAGATTGGCCGACACTGAAGCCAACACGGCCAAGGTTAGTAGGAGCAACGAAAGGGACCGCATCTTGCCTGATGATATCTATAATGAGTATTGGCACTTCCTGGGGAAAAGCGCCGAGAAATGCTGAACCTTTTAGGCGAGGCCAGTCTAACGGCTGTCAGCAAGCAGCAAGCAGTTGACATGACATCGTTGATCGGAAGGGGTGTCGGTATCTTTTGTTGGGGTTGGACTGACGTCAGCGATCGTCTCTTCAACCCATTTCAGGATGGGGAGTCGGATGAGTCGAGTCACAGTCTCGTCGACCAGATCAGACAGCCCAAGGCAGCTCGTCTTTGATGGTGGTCATTGTCATTGCTGCGATCAAATAGATACCAAAACACTTGCTACAAGATAGATGTACATTGCCACCAAGCTAGCTATAGCAGCTAGCTGCTCTAAGCTATTGGAGCTGATCCCAGAAGATTCGTCGTTCCAGTCGGATAAGACGAGGTTATGGGTAGAATCATGTATTTTTCACATAATTTTCACATACCGATACCTCGTTGAGCAGTCACCGCAGAAAGACAACCAAATCCAACCATGGCTACCATCAAACACAATGCCAACCGGCAAGGCCGATCCTCCCTCTTGCTGGCATTCGTTGGTGTAGTTTCCTTCTTGCTTTCACAGAATGCGCAACGAGGACAGGTAGAATTGCTCTCTCGGCAAATGATGGAGGCAGATGGATTTGTGCAGGATGCTCCGGAACAAGGTCAAGCAAAGTCTGTCGACAGCAACAATGCGGTTGGCTCTGACTTGCTGCAAGAGCCCCAGTATACACTCAATGATCCTACAATGCGGCTGTCCCCCTATGTGGAGCGTCCTTGGCTTCACTTTCACTCCGATCGATTCCCGCACGTGATGGACAGGCCCAAGCGCAAGCTCATCTTGACTGATATTGGATGGAATCATCCCAACAAAAAGAAAGGACTGGCAGAGTTCCCAAGGTCCTTATTGATGCGAGAGTTGCTACAAGCGTTTATCGATCACCCCCTTTTTGACCCAACGTTTGACTGGCGGGCCATGGCGGAAGGCAGGGTTCCCGTGGATACGTCTCTGGAGTATGTAGTGCTCATGGACATTGAAACTTGCTTTGAATCCAACTATCCAGTCAATGTGGCTCAGTTCACAGCCAATGCGGACACTCTCATGGGGCGAGTAGTCAAAGACAAGGGGCAAAACCCATGCTACAACATGAATGGGTGTGGAAAGCAACTAAGTCATGTCCTGGATTCACCCTTGTTCCAGCAAGTCAATGCATCCACACTCGTGTATTTCAATTGTGGAGGTAGCGGCCCAGGAAGGGCCCGCAAGGAGAGGTTTTCTTCGCATAAGATCTCTGTCGTGTCCATCTCTGCTGGTCCAGATATGCTGAATGAGGACTCTGACATGGGTATGCCACCACCAGCAATTCACCCAGTTGTTCTCAGCCACAAGCAACGTCAGAGTATCATCAACTCTTGTGACAGCGAGTCTGATCGCAATCGTCCCTATCTACTGTCCTTTGTGGGAAAGCATCGTAAAGGCAGTCCTCGAAAGGAACTAGTCCAGCTGCACAATGGCAATGATGTGATTTCTATGCGAACGCCAGTGTACGTGGATGCTCAAAAGAAGGGTGAATTCAATGAAACCTTCCCAAGCCTGTTGAGAAAGAGCAAGTTTGGTGCAGTTCCTCGCGGGGACAATCGATTTTCCTATCGCTTTACGGAAGTGTTGAGTGGAGGGGCCATTCCTGTGGTTCACTCGGATGGATGGATTTTGCCCTTTCGAGAAGAGCTGGTGGACTGGAGCAAGTGTGCCGTTGTGATTCCAGAAAAGCAAATGAATCAGACTGTAGAAATACTGAGAGATATCACAGAAACACAACGATGCAGGATGCGTCGGTACTGCTATGAGGTCTATGAGAAGTACATGGTCAACCCAGAAGCCAACATTGCAGGAATACTGGACAGCATTGAAGCTGCTCATCACGGGAAGGCCACCATCTAGTTTTTTTGTTAGGCTTCATTCATTCATAGTTTCATGTAAAGGATGTGTATGACTCAAACCGACTACTTAGCACCAATCGTCGTCTGTCATCATGTTGGAGGAGTGATCACGACCGCCATGCGCTTGGCTGCTTCGAATCTTCATTGCAGGGCACTGGTACTTGGTAGTAGCCTGGTTCGACCCAACCAGTGCACCGTCAAAAAAACCATGGATCCCTGCGATAGCGAATCCTCACCCACTAGCTGAGACCTTCTCAAAGAATGCTTGTTTCATATTTTGCAACCTCCCATACACGTGAAACAGCCGATCTCGCAGCTCGATTGATTGGTGGCTAGCTGACTAGAAATTAGAATATGCAGCAATAACAAAAGGTTCAGACTTACGATGATTTTATCTTGAACGATGTACTTTATTCTTTTAGTTCTATGTACAATAACCTATGCTTCCTCAATCATCATCATACCGGTACGGCGCATGGACTGTGGAAGAAGGAGTTGACTGTCTCTGGAGACATGGTTTCAAGATAGATCATGTAGGCTTCGGCTGAGTCTTGTGCTGCTTGCATATCACCAGTTTTGATCGCCTCCTCGTTGACGGAGGTTGCAAGTGATTCAATATCGAACGACTCGTCCAGGCCTGCCTTGCGAACCCGACGGAGAATCTGCAACATGAACTGGTTGGATTCCTCGGACTGAGTGGACCGCTCATTGTCCATGTAAAGCTCGAGTCCTCGCATGGATTCGTCTTCCTTTTCAAGATCGACCTCGTTTTCAATCAAATACCAGAGGTTGTCTTGGATTTCTGCCATCTCCCACTTGTCGTACCACATGGCTCGCTTTCGTGATTTGCTCAACTGATAGGAACTCTCTGATGGCTCTGAGATATCATCAGAGAAACTCACTCTTCGGTGTAGGTTCTTCTTTCTTGCCTTCCTCTCTTCGGCAGCACCATAGCTGGCACGTCTGTTGATGTGCTTTTCTGTCGACTTCTCGCTCTTGATTCCGTCGGAAGCACTGGCTCGTCGTCGGTTGTCGACCACTGCCTCCATCACTTGAAATTCTGCTTGGTTGGAAATACACATTATGTTGGGGGATTTGCCTTGCCTTCAGCTGCTCAAATTTTCAAAATTGTGAGAGAATGGAGTTTCTGTGGGCCCAAACCTCATCTATCGTGCGTGTCGGTCAAACCAGCGAACGAGTTCGAGCGATTGAGTTAGTCAGCGTACCTTGCACTCGCCACTGGACCGTAAAAGCAACCAAGTCTTTGTCCAAGTTGGGAAATTCATTTTTCTTTACACAAGGTGTGAGTGAGAGCTGAGTGAGACATTTGAGTTTTTTACTATCAGCTTCTCTACAGAAGACACTGGAGAAGGCAGAGGACAGTTCTTCTTTCCGGCATCCAGTCGTTGGAGTATCTTTCGACAGGGTATGCACGTATGCACTGTGCTCTTTGGGTACTGAACTTAGTCAGCCGTACTAGCTCGGACGCACAACACCCAACAAGCTACCCAACACCGCAGCTTCACTGCTCGGTCCCAAGGGCACTCGGAAGCCGTCATGCTATGGATGTTGGCTGGGCCTGCTAGATAGCCAGCTAGAGTTGGATCGCCTACAATACATGTAACGCTACGGTAGCTCTGACCATTCCGGTTACCAGCCAGGAGGCCTCAGCACCACTGAAAAGGCAGCAGGTACACCAGAGGCGGAAGATGACAGAAAGCATCTGTAGTAACGAAGGCTGTCCCACCAAGTTGCTTTCATCCAAGGCAGAATCATTTCCTTGGCAGGCTTTAGGAGTGGCTGGACTAGCTAGCGACCAATTATCTATCAAGTAGGTCCTACCGTACGCTTTCGCATAGTATGCACCAGCAATTTTTCGTATTCGCATCAGGCCTGGTTTGCAGCCGTGTCCCCCTCCTACAAGGTTAGCTGGCTGAGCGAAGAGCTGACAGCTACTACGTCATTTCTTGCTTCTTTGGCCTTTTTGTGACTTAGTATGATGCTTTGTCAAGCCAGGTAGCAGGAAGGTGAACTGGAAGAAACCAGAGTATCATTACCCTCCATATCATCAAGCTTGGCAAGTTGCTGTGGTCCATGGCCTTCAGCCCAGTATTCGCAGACTTCATCACCACAGCAGGCGGCTGAGAAATCTCGGGTGTCCAACCGAAAACTCTCAAAGAAGTTTGAGTAGAAACATTTTCGACGCATTGTCCTGTAGCTCCAAGGCAAGGTGGTGCGTTGACACGATGTCATGTCCACGGGTGCACCAGTCAGCCACCCAGTCACCACAAGCTCGGGCTCGGAGGAGGAGTCAACACCCCCACAGACAACATCGCCCAGCAGGATAGAGGTATACTATTTGCATTGCTGGCTGCTCAAACAACAGTGGCCGAATGAAGTTTCGGTGAGCTAGAGTTAGAGAGGCTGCCTGTTCTGCCTTGCATGCAATGATAGTGATACGATTCATTGTTGGCCAGCAACGAGCATAGCCAACGATGCAAACAGGGGAGGAGCGAAGGTTGCTTGGGAAGCTCTCCTCGAATCACCAAGCAAGGAGCAGCTTCACTGGATCCCAAATTGGCAGGGCAGCTTCCGTACCATCCCACCCTGTAGCTGCAAGGAGGCAGAAGGTTGCCCCGTGAGCTCTCCGCGGTAGACAAGACCCGGGGAGAAGCTTCACTGGGTTCATCATGGCTGTGAACTACCTTACAGCAACAAGAATGTACTAGTAGTTGGCTGCGGATACACGGACACAGACAACTGCTTGGAGGGCTCTCGAATGTTTCAAAGACCCAGGCTTCACTAGATCCATTTCAATACGCTACTGCGTTACCATCACAACCAGAGACCGAGGAACGACACAAGAAACTAGCTGCTGATGAGGAGGGATGAAAAGATTGAGAAGGTTGCTTGGGCCTAGTAGCGGTATCGTCGCCAAGACCCAGTGAGGCAGGAGCTTCGCTGGCTAGAGCTAGGTCCATCATAGCTGAGGTCCTGGCTTGCAGCCAACCACAACCAACCAGCCTGCCTGGAACTCGCAAAAGAACTAGTATGTAGGTAGCATAGGCTGCGACGAGGAGGCAGAAAATTGCCCCACCAGAGGTTCCGCCCCTCAGACTGGGTCCAACTCAGTGGAACTCAGCCATGGATTCGATTCACATTCAAATGAAATCTGCTTATCCATGCAAAGGAACCCCAGCGAGTAGCCAGCGCTATGCATACAGCATAAAGGCGTTTCCCGATGTATTCGACCTCAAAAACATGGGCGGTATGGTACCAGTACTCCTCGGTACTGCTTGAACGGGTCGAGTCGAGTCAGTAAGCTCATTCCGCCTCCATCCAGTCCTGGGAGGTAGGAACTTCTGAGATGGTCTATGTACGTCACAACACGTCACCTGTCGGGAGCCATTGACTCATTATCCTGGACCGACAGAATGTGCGCACCGCCATCTATTATTGTCAAACTGGAGTACTCAGCTCGGGCAGCAAAGCACCATCACCCCAGCAAAAATGAGATTCGATTCGATGCTGGTGGGCAGGCGAACACGAACCTGGTGCTTGCTACTACTCGTACTTGCTTAGTAGTTACGGGTTAGTCAACTGAAAAGAAGAGGTATCATCATTAGTTGTAAAGCTCACAAGAAAACGAGGAGACACCATGGTATTGATTACCTCCGAACAAATCAAGGCTCAGCAGCTGTTGCGTCACAAGCAAGTCCCGAAGAACGCCGTCACTGATCTCGCTGAATGGGCCTCGAAGCGGTCGGTAGCAGCAGCGGCGACAATGCAGCGACACAGGGTTTCATTCTTCCAATTGGGTAAGTCCCTGAAATTTGGGCTCCATGGTATCTTTGGTACATTGGCCACCATTGCTACCGCGTGGGCGTTGATCGATGAAACCGAAACATCAGTGCTTGTGGCCGTCTACCTGGGATCCTTGACAGCGGTATATGCTTCCTTTCTGCTTGGTCAGGTCCCTCCCGCATCGCATGTGGCCCCTGGGATTGTGGCACCGCACATTGACGCCTTCAAGGCGGCCATTGCCTTGATCTTTTACGTGGGTATTCGCTGCATGGAGCCCTACTTCCCATCGGAACTCCTCTACTTGAGTGCAGTTGTGGCCGCCTGGTGGCCCTTTGTTCCCAAAGCGATTGATTGGGCCAATGGCAACACGTATTTGCTTGTCTTACCACGGTTTTTTGCCGTGACGTTTGACATGATCAATGTATCCGTCACAGGCAGTTCCATCCAAAGGCATGATCTACTCGCGGTTCAAATGTTCCTATTGGTCTTTAGCTTCCTGTACTCGCTGTCATTTCGCGTTCAGCACAAGGCCATGCCACTGATTATCTATGTCGTTACCACATTGGGAGGGGCTTGTCTCGGCGTGTTCATCGTCATGCCCGAAGTCTTTCGTGTCTTGGGATAAGATCCACCACGCCGAAGGGGCTTTGCCAACCAACCCTCCAGTGAAGACCCAAACAATCATGCCACAGGGACATTCACTTGTAGTTGCATATACATTGATCTTTCCCGTTACGCGACAATAAATCTCAGTGGAACGTCTGCTACCCATCCATACAAAGCATCCATCGAAACGGGGAGGTCTGCCCACAAGCAACCCACAAACCTTTATGCAACATCCTTTCCAGCCTCAAATTTTAGTAAAATAGATATCATTTGCCCCCTTTTGCTTGCTAGACGCCTTCGCCCCTCGCGCAAACTTCAAGTACCATCCGGCGCAACCCCAAGCGAACAACGGAACTCTCTTGTCAATGCTGCACATGTAGCATTGAGTTTTGCTACTCCCCAGTTTGCCAAACCCAATGATAGTTGACAGAGGATATGTATCATGGTTGGATGTTGGATAATATGATATCAGAAGCTACGTACCAATGCACACATCTAAATCCAACTCTTTCCCTGGTCCCAGCTAGCTAGCAGTGTTCCGTAAATTTTACAACACCCAACAGCGTGTCTACCATAGGCGTGGAGACGGATGCTGAAAGCAGCACCAAAGTTCATCGAGTCGTAAAAGATGGGACCTCTGGAGCTGTCAGATGCATCTAGGTGCTTGGCTACACGTCATGGTGAAGAAATGCGTGTAAGAAGGCCGACCTATTGTAGCTAGCTAGCCAGGACAAAACACAAACTCTTGGTTTCGGGGAGCCAGAAGATCTCTGACATCTGCCTGACCGGGAGGTTTAGACTAGGTTTAGACTAGGTTTAGACTGATGATCAAGCCAGTGCGACGGTGCACCGCCTTTGCAGACTGTGCGTTTGGTTGCCTAAAGGTACCCTGTGTTAGCCACTCAGCTCCTGGCTCGGAACACCAAAGAGGTCTTTCTATGTGGTCTGTGTGTAGTAGAGTATGGTTATGTTCAAAGTAATAAGAGACTATTGTAGTCTTTTTAGTTTTTCTATCATAATAATGGTACAGGGTTGATAATGGCATATGCTTGCCTATGCCGTTCGTGCCATTGGCATGGCAGTAGCAGATGCTGTCGGTCGGTGTGTCTTGATCTTTTGTTTTTGCGTTGCAAAGCAACTGTCGACAGTCTTGCTGCACATGGTTTCTCTGTGAATACCGTAAGCTTCCAAAAAATCGTTGGTGGCCAATTTGACCGCCTCTTCTGTCGTTCTGGCACTGAGACTGGCCGAAAAGCAGCGAATAGATTCGTCGTCCCGTTGTGCTGCTGATCTGGTGAATTCCAACACGGGTTGAATGTGCTGACTGTACCGTGCGTCCTTGCTGCGGTTGGCAAAGGCTTCCAATCCTCGCCAGCAGTCGGTGGCAAAGTTCAACTTGGCGGGTTTCTTGATAATCTTTTTCAGCTGCTTGCGGGTGGCCTTGAGCTCGTCACGACTCCACCACAGGAGATCCATTTGATCTTCCGAAAAGGCATGGCATTCAGAGGCATCCTGAAGGGTAACCGTGTTGCTAAAGGCAACACTCTTCTTGGTCATCATCATCTTGGGCATCATGATTGTATGAAAGTGAGTAGGCTGGATGCGTTTGGTTTGCTTTGAGTTCGGACTCGGAATTGTGAGTCTTCTGGTTTGTGTGGCCTGAACGTGTGGAGCATTCGTGTTGTGGCTCGGCACCTTGCCTCCCGAATCTTGCGGAATGCGGAAGACGGCACAGCCAGTGGTGCAGTGGTGGCAGCTCGCTTCGTCGCCGTTGACCAAAAATGTCTCGGTTGCCAGGCTGGCATGGGGCTGAGATCCAACAGGAATGGTAAGAACCTCGGTCTCAGCTGGTTTGAGGATTTCGAAAGTGGGATTGTTACATAAATAGTGAGTACTCTAAAGTCCAGAGAAAAATACATTGCGGGAACAATTAGTTATGCTCCTGTTTTTACTGTCACAAGGAACAGCTATGGAACAGCTAAGGAACAGTGAGTACATGTACTAGCTAGTACTAGAGATCCGAGATCCTCACTCGAAACCAAATTTATACCATTTTGCCTTCGGCTCCCTCCTCACTCAAAACTTGGGGAATGTGAGAATTTAGTGAACATGTCAAATCGTTTGGCTAAAATACCCCAAATAATTGGGGGGTGTCTAGATTTCCGGGAAGTGAGGATTTTCAAGGATTTGAGGACAGCTGTTGAGGAACCAAGGTTGATGGTACTTGGTTCGTACATCTTTACATCCTCTTTTCACCACTGGAACAGTCGAGCCCACGGTGGAGTGGATTTATTTGTCCATTTATTTGTCCCTCACGCCTAAATTTTCACTTAGCTAAAGGCTAAGAGTGGATAAATCCACTTTTTGGCTAAGTTGATTTACGCACATCACTTAGACTAAGAGCATGCAACACCGGGGTTCCCCAAATCACAAAACCCAAATGGTTGGCATCGAGTATCGCCGGTCGACCTGAGTCCACTGAATCAAATGGGTTTAGCGACCATGTGGCTCACGCAAATCCGAGCTGTTTGGGTAGCCCAAACAGCCGACCCAAACCCATTTGACTCATTGGATTCAAATTTACTTAAGGAGAAGAATTGCCACATCAACAATGGCATCATTCTAACATCACAATAGGAGTGTTGAGGTTCTCTTTCGCGAGCAAGCATAGCCTAGCAGCGAGGATGGTCAACCTCCAACCATTTGGGTTTTGTGATTTGGGGTACCCCGGTGTTCTGCTTAGCCTAAGCAACACATTGGGCTAAGCAATACACTTAGGCTAAGTGATGCTCTCCAAGGCATCTTCTCAACAGCACAAGTCCCTGCAGCTTGTTGTACACACAAACACAGTATTCCTGCTGATCCTCATCCGCAATAGTATCTATATTGCCAGCAAGTGCTTTGGGGCTATGCAAATGATAGCCACACCAGAGGCGCAACTAAAGCCCAACAACTCTCAGATGGTAGGTAAATACATGTATTTGAAAACATCGGGAACATCCAAGATATTGCAAGAAAGCAACATCATTTGTACTTAGTAATAGTATCCACAACTCATGAGGAGGACTTTCAGACTTCCACCCTGGAACCATATTAATTAAAAATTGTACAGAGTCTCCTGTGGCACCTGTTTTTTGTGTGTGTATTTAACACCATAGCCAAGGGTGGAAGCCAGATCAATAGTATGGATGGTATCATCCTCCAGGGAAGTTGCAACCTGGATCTATTCTCAGTCTCAGCCCAATTGAACTCTTTCTTGTGGAGTTCCTTGAGCTGTTCGCAGGAAGCCTTGCATAATGCAGAGGGTATGGTGGGTGATGGTTGTATTGGAACTTGTGTTTGCACTTTGCTTACAGCAAGCTGCAGGGACTTGTGCTGAACTTGTGCTGCTGAGAAGATGCCTTGGAGAGCACCACTTCGCCTAAGTTTATTGCTATTTTTATGTGTTTTGCTTAGGCAAAGTGTAAACACTTAGACTAGGTGGATTTACACGCACTTGGCCTGAGTGAAAATTTGTGAGGGACAAATCACCCTAGTACCCCATGCCACCCTAGCACTACGAGAGCCGAACTGTACGTAAAGGAGAACACACTCTTATCCCATCGGTCAATCTTGTGAACTTGAGTAATGTCTCTCAATGCTGTAGCAGTACGGTACTTTAATGTTGTGCCTCTACTACAATTAATTATTGTCAATCAGGATTTCAGCTGTGCTGCTGTGACTTTTTATTAAGCTGTCTTTTAAGTAATCCCGCTCGTTGCCGATACTCCGATACCGCACAGTCCGTTCTCACCAAGGCCAATCTGACATTTGCCCCTGTTCCACCATAGAGACTGCAAATTACAGCTTTGATCTCAGTAGTGAAACGGTACCAAATCCCAGCAAGAGCAATCAAAGTGGCTCCCGAGAGCTCTCCCGAGGGCTCTGCCAAAGAAAGCATCTATCAGCACGTGCAAGTGGTTAAAGAGGAGCTTGTAAGTTTGTCCTTCAGTTTTTTACGCTCAATGCGAGGATGCAGATGTAGGATACCGGTACCGGTATGACATTGCGTGGAGCGTGGAGTGAGTGTGGAGCTTCGGTGCTTGGCTTCAAAAGTTGATCTTTCAAATCTTCGTTCTTTGGCCACTGTAGTCCAGAACAATTGACCACCCCCCTCCACTGGCCAGAGACTAAAGTTCTTGTATCGCAGCAATATCCTTACATGCAAAACATTCCCAGCTAGCTAGTCGCAGCTGGTAGGCCGACTCTAAAGTACTCTAGTAGGCTATTAGCCAATTGCAAGCATCTCGGCTTTATAGAAAGTGGCCAGATGATGCTTTGCTGTTTGCTAGCTGTGGGCAATCTTCTGGGAGATCGGTTACTGGTCACACTGTCAGCCAAACTCTAAAGGATCTATCGGTACGACCGGTACCGGTACCGTGGCTGGCTACACGCAAGAGAAGTCTGTCCCTCCACTGCCAGCCTGTGATCAAACCAATAACAAAGAGTAGCTTTAGCTAGCTAGCACTCAATGCCACTCACGTTTTCCTCCAGATCCAGCTGCTCATCTGCTTCGCTACTAGCTACATGATGTTGGTCGTCGGAACACCTGAGGAGCAAGGACACGGATGGATGCGACACAGGGAGGGTTGCCGCGAAGACAAGCGTCCACACCATAACCGATTGGCGTGCTTACAGCCTTGATGTTTTATATCTTTGGGTTGACACGTATCTTTCCTTTCAACAGTAGTCTAACTTTGTCGACACAAGAGCTTGCTTTCCTTCCCTGTGGAATACTATCTGGATAGTAGTAGTACTTGTACAACTTCTGATGATGAGGACCCTTTCCAGTATAACCCTTCTAGCATTGGCATTATCTTTGGCAGTGTCTATTGGCACTGCCAAAGAGCCACGTTCGCTACACGTTCCTCGCTCTGCCTCTCTCCATAAAACTCCGAAACATTCGAGATTCCATCCGGCCACGAGTAGTAGCATCACGGCTGTCTCTGTCCCCCGTGGTGGTGGTGCCGATCAATTTGTTGATCAAGCATATGACTGGGCCACAAACTTGGGAGCTCCTGCAGCGCTGGTGGCGGGAGCTGTGATTGCCACATTGTACGAGAATATGTCTAGTGGATCCTTGGATGTTATGGAAAAGACCGACCCTGCATGGGTCAAGGTGGCCAAAAAAGCCACACGATTGTTGCTCTTGTCGGCATTTATTCTTCAAATCGTGTGCATATTCTGCACAAGTAAGTACCCAGAAGACGCCGCCTCCACTCCACAATCTTCACGACGACTTACACTCCTGGCTTTTCTGCCTCTTTTGCACACTTATTATGATCATTGCAGCCATTCTGGGAACGCATCTGCTCTCTCATGAACCAGTTTCTGCTACCAAGGCAGCTACAGCAATGCAATATCTGCGGGAACAATTCGAATTTGAATACTTAACAAGTCGGATTGCCTTTTTGCAGGTAAGCAAATGGAATTGTGTTGCCATCATGGTCGTGCCATGTCGCTCACATATCATCTACGCCTTCCTGGCAGGGGTTGGTATTTTGGTTGAGTGCCATTGCTCTTGAACATGCCATTCCCCACTTCACGGACGAGTCACCAGCACGAAGAAACGTGGATATTCTCATTGCGTCCTCCCTAGCGACACTCATCATTGCCATGATGTCTTTTTACAATGGACACATGAACTTTTACGACAATTACTATGAAATGTTGGTGCGATTTGGACAGGTAACATGGACGAGATATTGTGCCCAATGGCCTCCCAGAGTCATGACCGTTCTAGCATTGCCCACTCTGGCTACCTCCATTGTCTACTTCTTCAAGGTATTTTTGGATCTTAATGGAGGAAAGGGTGGGCCAGCCCTAAAGACCAGGACTATGTAAGGCAGAAACAACGCAGATTGTCGCTATTAGCTACTACTTTGGAGTAAGTAGCTGGCGCGGTACTCTAGCCGGAAGACGGTAGGATCGTTGATTCAATTCCTCTGGTTTTCTCTCAGGTAGAACCTACTTGCTAAAGCTGCATGATAAGAACAAGAGTCGTGCTCTGAATGATCTGTTAGTCTTACTGGTACCGTATGCTGACCTAGCCACCCTAAAACTCGCATCTACACAACAGCCAGGATGCCAGTGTAACGTATCAATAGCTACTCTGAGAGCAAGAGAAACTGATGTTGGTTTCTCTCCGATTTCAGGGCCACGCAGCCAGAGCTCTAGCGGAAATTGCATCACTCCAGCTCCGAAACTTTCACAGGATCGATGTAATTTCCACTCGCTTGTTTTGCTTTGCTTTCTAAAGCTCTCCCCTAATCATCCACTCCGCTTGTTTACACGTACTGGTACGGTACCATCAACATTTGGAAAGAATGCAGGTACCAGTATGCACGAGACTCGTGCTCGGTTTGAGTGTTCGAGCCTATCCCGTATTTCAAGTAGCTGTGCTGTCTGCCTTGATGCTTGACAGGTGTGCTGACCGAGGTTTCACCAGTCCCACCTGGTAATCGCGTTCGGTAGATCTGTGATCTGTGAGTGAAATATATCGAAATCCATAAATATCTTCCATGAAAAGTCCAACAAACAAACCTGGGTTCAAGATCCAATCCCGCTGAAAATAGCATGCACCTCACGCACTCAACTCACGTGTTTTGTATGAGGACAAGAGTCGAAGTGAGTAAGCCTGGTTTACAGTTTGCTCCCAAGTTACGGTATGCGGCCAATGCTGCTTCGGAGTGAACATGTTCGAGCGGCACTCAACATCCCAGCAATTCTTGTGCCGGTATCACAAATCACAATTTGGAACAAAACGTTTAAAACCACCAAAGATTATTTGCTTCCCACCCCTCTTTTCTTTTTACACCATGCTCCGTTCAGCCATTGCATCAATAGCAGCTGCTGCAATCCTGCCCCTTGCAAGGGCTTCGCCTTCTAGTGGTCACAGTCCACTTCTAAAACCTCCCTCACTGGACTGTGAGCCGTGTATAAACAGGGCAGCCTACAAGATCAAGGCAATCTACCATGGCGAACGGCAAGATCCTTTTTGGCAGCCAGTCGAGGCGGCGGCGCTTCAGGCAGCAGATGAGCTTGGAGTGGACCTTGCCATTCAGATGTATGATCACTTTGATCCTGCCAAGATGGCTGAAGACATCGTCAAAGCAATCATGGAAGAGCCCGACGCACTGATAGTTTCCATCCCCAGTCCGGAGGTTGCAGCAGCAGTCAGACAGGTCGTGACAGCAGGCATTCCTGTTTTTGGTCTCAATAGCGGCTACAAGTATGCACAAGAGTTAGGAATCCAGGCATTTGTTTCTCAAGACGAGTATGCGGCCGGGATAGCGGCTGCCAATGAAATGCTGAAAGTGTCCAACAATACCGTTGGCAAAGCCATCTTCATAAACCACGAGCCGGGAAACTCGGGGCTCGAGGAACGGAAACTGGGGTTTGGAGATACATTCTTCCTGAACACGGGCAAGAACATTACCGAAGTAGACATCGACCCCAATGATTCGCAGGAGGCGATTGGACTCTCCAATCTTTTGGAAGGATGCTCGTACCATTTTGTTCAGTTTGCAGGGCTTCGAGTCAACGAGATTCTAGACATTGAGTACATCATTCAGCGATGTCCGGGCATTAGACTTGGAACCTTTCACTCTTCCAAGAATGTGCATGACAGTATTCTGAGCCATAGAATATCCTTTGCCGTGTCACAACAGGAATACCTACAGGCAGTGCTACCAGTACAATTGGCTATGACATACGTTACAACACGCAAGCTTCCAATGGCTCCGTTGAGTGCAACCATGATATCAGGAGTTTACTTCTCTGGGTTATCCATCATTGACATTGACAATAGTCCATCAGAGAAGCTTCAACTTTGTGCGGATGAAGGCTTTCCAGTGTGCCCATCAGGTGGCCACAGTACAGAGACACCATGCGGATGTACAAAACGATCCAAGTACCGATTTCAGGGAATTTTTCACGGATTGACCTCCGATCCATTTTGGGATCCTATCTTCGCCGCGGCCGGGCAAGCTGCCAAGGACATGGGCGTAGAATTAGTCATGGATCGATTTTTGCCTCCGAGTGACAGTCCCCGCAACGGGGAGACAGATAAAGTCATTGAGGAGAAAATGGTGAGAAACATTATTACTCTCTGCGCCACCAAGTTTTCGCAGATTGATGGTCTGTTCGTGTCTATTCCAAGCCATGCAGTTGCGGAAGCAATCAAGGTGTGCCTAGAAAATGACGTCCCTGTCATCTCCATCAACTCAGGAGCAGAATACTCGCGTCAACTTGGTCTCCTGCATCATGTGGGGCAACCGGAGTTTGAGGCTGGATTCGCTGCTGGTCTTAGGATGGCTGCTGAGGGGCAGGTTGACAGTGCGTGGTGTATCAACCATGAACCAGGGAACCAGGGTATCTCAGAACGATGCTTGGGATTCCAGGCCGCTCTAGAGGATGCAAATATTGCCTACATGGGTCAGATCGAGGTTCCTCGTGGGGATGATGTTGCCATCTTCATGTCCACAGTTGAGACAGCCATCAACGATGATGGTGGTACTTGGAAAGGATATGGGCTGTTGCTGAATGGACTTGTTCATGTAGCTTCGGCACTTGCCCTGAAAGCTCATCACGCCAACGTCACCATTGGTTCCTTTGACACTTCATCAAAAGTAAACAAAGCGTTGGATGAAGGCTTCATGAGCTTTGCCATTGATCAGCAACCCTACTTGCAGGGATATATGCCCGTTTCACTGCTCACCGCGTTTGTTCAAAGCAAGCAGCACTTACAAGATGAAGTCATAAAGACTGGTCCTACCTTTCACTTCTCTTCCCCTTCTGAACAGCAACTGGCTTGCGAAGCCAACCACTACCAAGTCTGCCCCGTGGAGCATGACTCTGTCAATACTGTGGACCAGGATTCCACCAATGCTATTGACCAACAACCAAACATTCCAACAACAGAGAGCGAAGACTACACTGACAGCACATCGATCATTGCGGGTGCACTGGTCACCCTTTTTGTGTTCCTAGTGGGACAGCAGCTGAAATTGCTCTGTACAAAAATGGCTGATCAAGCGACACGCGATCGCTTGGAAGCTGCTGCCCAATCGGAACTATCCAGAAAAGAAAAGTTGGACTCTACCGCCCAAGACGACTCGGAGGACGAGTGGGAGGACGAACCAGTCTAGCTAGAGAGCTGCCCAAGGTGCAGGCTCATACCGTTCATACTTCGAACTCTCATGATTTCCGTGGGGGCACGCTTTGGGGCATTTTTGCTTTGTAAAAGTCAATTTAAAAATAATTTTGCACATAACAGACACACATGGGGGAAATTCTGAATCCAGCCAATAGCTACATGCAGCTAGTTTTGAGTGTTGCTAGACTAGGAAGGCAAATGAGTGGACAACAGCCCAACACTGGATGCATAGTGCTCCAACCATTCATGAGCTCCCAGAGTGATTCCAAACCTTGGAATGGCCCCTACACAGCGCTCGGAAACGCCAGTGAACAATACCTTGGAGCCTTCTTGTTCCACTATTCGTTTAGCGACCAGAAATGGATTGTTGCTGCTATCAATGTCATTGTCAGTGGTAGTTGTTTTCAAGTCTTGGGACAGATCTCCCATCATGACATCCACCTCTTGTGGCTCATAGATTCCAACCATGGTGCCATTATTGAAGCCACCGCCACCACTCATGACCAAGGTTCCATCCGATTGAGCCCGGATGGATGGCGTTGTTGATGTTGCTGCTACCGCGCTGAATGCTGGAAGAGGTTGTGTTTGTTGCTGTCTGGTCAGAATGCGAGTCTTGACCATATCGGCAGGGGTAGCAATGAAGGTAGATACCACACCGGACATGGCCCCCGCCAGGAATGCTGGTGATCAGTTAAGTCAAGAGGCAATCAGTGAGGACTACAAAACAAAACAAAGCAACCAACCAACCTGGTTCCTTTTCCATTCACTTACGATCTATACCCGAGTCAAACAAGGCACTGTAGAGAGGAAAGCATACGGCGGTAAAGGAAATGTCCCGAATCAGACAGGCCTCAACGCCCCGATAGAGCCCGGCAACGCCATTGACTTCTTGCCATACGAGACGAAACTTGTCCAAACCAGATTCTTCTGCTTCACCATCCTTTCGGGTTTGCAGTCTCACTTTAATGACATCCAAGGGAGATGACACTACCACTTGACAGGCACCCGCCACGGCACCCGAAACGATTTGACTCCAGAGCGGCAAGACTGTTCCACCATTTGCCAGCAGGAAGGAATCCTTGAGTATATCATTGACCCCCAATTTGACCGATTTCTCGGGCGCGACACCCGTCACGGAAACGGGCAATCCAGTAAGCAAGGCACGGGGGTGCTGTTGCAAGGTTTCCCAAAAGCACGCCAATCCATTGTTTTGATACCGTTTGGCCCCCTCTTCACTCTGTATCTGAGCCTTGACATAGTCAAACGGTTGATAGGCAATGGCACCACATCCACCGGCAATAGCCCCAATTCCAAAATGGACAATGGGATCGGGAATGATGAACGCACAAAGAAGTGATGGATACAGTACTAGTTGTAGCAGCGACAGCAATGACGACGGGAGAAGACGACTCTTCATGACAAAAGGGGCTTGTACCGCTACAACGCAACTCAACTCGAAAAGCAAAGCTGCAGCTCCTCTCTCTATGGCTGTTGAAATCGTTGACCAAAGAATTTCTATGAATCACTCCACATGACATGTGCATGCACTGATGTCGAACACTTCCAAACCTTCCAACAGCTTGCTTTCCGGTGCCTTCGCCTCCGGTCTCCGAGGCTTCTTGCACAAGTGCCGACTTGCCCATGGAAATTCTGTCCTGGAGTGTGAGAATGTGAGAATTCTCCGACGACGCACGATTGAGAGCTTCCGTCAAACATATCCTTAACCCTTACATCATCTCAAACTTCAATTTTTCCCAATGACGTGTTTCTCGGGACGCCCTTGAAAGATATTCATGAAATCAAAGAAAGATGTGAGTGTTGACACGACGATGATGACAGGGAGCTGTCAGCCCCAACAGTAGTATCCACACATCGTCTCTACTAGCAAGCTAGAGAATCGTTAGATAGCCCTAATATAGTACCAAGTCATGACGATGCTCCGTTGCTTTTCCCTTCTTCTCGGAGTGGCGCTACTTTCGAATGCTCCGTCCTTGGTGAACGCAGAAAGATTCTCCCACCAGCCAACGCAACATGCTAGCTTTCCCAAGAAGGTGTCAATATTGACCGAAGAGGTTTTTGTCAATGCAGAGAGAGTGCCTCGTGGAGGTGCCAAAGCCAAGGTTGCCAACACGAAGGCCAAGGCACCACCTGCCCACCCGGACGTTCCCACGGCACAACAGCTCGCCGGCGTCGCAGTCTTTACCATCATTGAGTTGTCCTTTCGCAAGGTTTTCAAAACGTACAATATTCGATTTCCAGGACAATTGGCAGGATGTGTGGCCTTGTTTGCCGTCATGATTGCGGCCCAGGCGGTGGCGCCCAATTCGGGAGACGCCATCTGCAATGCTCTCAGTCCCGGAGCCGGCTTGTTGGCCAAGTGGATGGGAGTCTTTTTTGTTCCTGGTTTGACCATGTTGCCATTGGCACCGTCGGTGGGTGGACCCGTTGAGGTATGTCTGTCTGAAAAAAGATTAGAATAGGAAGAAGATGTTTCTTGCCTAACACTTTTGATGTGTTTCTCTCTTTTCTTAGATTCTCAAAACGCTGGGTGTGGTCATCGTGGGATTCTTCTATTCTCTAGCCCTTGTGAGCTACACGGTCCTTGGAGTGCGAAAGCTTTTGGGAACTTTATCAGAGGAGGAAGCATCCAGTGTCGGCAGTTCGACCACGGGTGCTGCCAAAAAGCCGTATGCCGAAAGTACTACCAAATTCCTAGTCACAGGGAGCGTCGTGACGGCTGCCATTAGCATTGCAGCCACCAAAACGGGTAATTCTTTCCAAAAGCCCCTGGAAACGCTCTTTTTGGGATTTGCGACACTGGCTACCTACGTGTGGGGTGCTAATCTTCCTTCCAGTATTACAACAATCATCAATCCATTGCTTTCCAGTGCCATCTTGACATTGGGGGTTGTCCGTCTCACCGCTATGGCCACGGATACGTCGTTCGTCGACGTGCTCAAATCGTACACGTGCAAAAAGCTGGCTCCCATGGAAGCAGGTGCCGGTGATTTGCTACTCTTCCTACTAAGTCCTTCTGTCATTTCCTTTGCAGTTGGCATGTACAAGGGAAAAGCCTTGATTGCCTCCAATCTGCCAGCCATTATCACTGCCGTCATGACAGGGTCCATTGGTAGTATGTTTGGAACGGGTAAGTGTGACATCGGTAAAGGATCCACTTTGGCCGCTTGTGGCCCACGTGCTCACCATGGTTTCTTGCTTGCTTCTACAGCTGCATTGGCTCGCCTCATTAACCTGGGTGGCTCGAATGGAAAGGTCATTCGAATTGCAGCCGTGCCACGAAGTACGCAGACGGCATTGGGCATGATCATTGCCGAGCTGCTAGGGGGCGACATTGCCATTGCCGCGACAATGATTATCTTGACTGGAATCTTTGGGGGCATGGTTGGAGTCAAGACCCTCAATGCGTGGGGTGTCAAAGATTCTGTCTCTCGTGGTCTTGGTATTGGATCTGCTGGGTTGAGTCTGGGTGTGGTGAGTATCAAGGGTGAACCGGAGGCATTTGCCTTTGCAGGTTTGTGCCTGGTCTTGACAGCGGTGGCAGCCACGTGCTTGGCATCCATACCGGCGGTTGCAGACTTGCTGATTAAAATTGCGGGAGGTGCACCCGCAATTGCAGAGGCCCTATAGTCGCAAGGTTAACATACTAGCTAGTACGGTACAATGCCAAGCACACGCGCTTGCCTTGGAATAACCCTCTTTAGCACGCTATTATCTGGTAGTTCAATTCATTCTACCGGTACATGCGATGAATCCAACAAAACTATCTTACTAACTACTATCCGAATCACTATCACTGTCGAAGAAAGATTTCTTTTTTGCCGCGGGTTTCGCAGGAGCTGCCGCAGCAGGTGGTTTGGGTGGTGGGGCTTTCTTGACAACGGGAGAATCGTCCGAATCATCGTCGCTGGAACTGTCCAAGAATGATTTCTTTGGCTTCGCCGCAGGTGCAGCTGGCGGTGGCGTCGGCGCACTTGCTGGTGGAGCGGGTGTGCTTGCTGCTGGTGCTGACTTGGCAGCTTCCTCTGCAGCCTTCTTTTGAGCCTCGGCCTTCTCCCTCGCCGCTTGTTCCGCCTTTTCTTTGGCTTCTTGTTCTGCCTTTTCTTTGGCTGCTTTCTCTTCCGAAGCCTTGGCATTAATTTCTGCCAACGCCCTCGCCTCTCGCTCCTTGCGTTCTCGGGCCAACTGCGCTTCTCTCTCCCGCTTTTCAGCGTATTCCCGTGCTCTTTCCTCTTCTGCTGCTTTTTCTTCTGCGTATTCCCGGGCTCTACGCTCTTCTTCTTCCTTCTCCCATCTCGCCTCTTCCTCCGCTGCCAAGCGCTCCTCTTCTTCTTGTTTCGCAAGTCTGTCTGCTTCCAGTTTCTCGTCCAACGCAGCACCCGAATACTCGATTCCGTGTTTTCCAACAAACACACCCGCCCCCACAGCAACCCTCCCCGTCGCTTCCACCGCGTTTTCTTGGTGGTGCACGGCAATTGTTTTGAACTTTCTAACGAATTCGGGTACATCAGCATTATTACTGCCGGCAAGATGTTGGTTGGTCTTGAAGTTGTGCTTCTTCTCAATGACAATCGATGACTTGGCCTGTTTTGGGATCCTGTGTTTGCCTTCCTTCTTTTGTTGTTTCGCTTCCTTGCGTCGCTTCCATGCTTCGGCTGGTGATTCTTGCACTCGAATACCCGGAGTCCTCGTGTTGACCGTCGGTTTGGGAGCCGGCTCCATGGACGGTTCCGATGTCTTTTCGGACTCGTCGTCGTCATCCGTGTAGGTTGTTTGCCGTTTAATTTCCTCGGCTCGTTTCATTTCTTGATCCCAGTGACTGACTGTCGATCGGATCTTGGGAAAGGCAATAACCCGTTGATCCCGTTCCAATTCGTTGGGCTTTGGTTTTTCGACTTTTCCACCTGCCACCACCACAATGGGTGCGCTCTCTAGTTCATCCACCGGCCGAATCGGCCCTCTTGGAGGTGGTGGTGGTCGAACCGGTGAACTTGGTTGGGATTGATGCGGAGGAGTGAGTCCCGATGCCTCTTCGGTAGCGGCGGATGGCATGGGCAGCGAGATGGTCGGCATCGGTGGATCAAAAATGTCGTTCTCTGACTCTGGTAGATACCTCAGTGCAATCTCTTGCATCGGAGGCACCCATTCAACCTCTTCTGGCATGCAATTTCTTGCACGGGAGGATTCCACTTGATTTCCTGGGTGTCCGTGATATTGGATATTCCAGGAGAGACGTGTTGTTCTTCCTTTCTTCTTCGACCGGGATAATTCCCAGATGCTCTCGCGACAAGAATTGGCTGTCGCCACAGATTGTGATATTTTGTGGGAGGAACTCAAGTTCTCCCGCGACAAGACTTGACTCGTTTCTACCGACAGTGGCATCTTGGGCGACGCTTTGTCACTGCCACTACTGGCTTTTGGTGAAGAGGATTTGCCACTACCGCTACTACTGCCCTTTCGCTTGCGTCGTTCTTTTCGAGCGGCTACTCGTTCCTGCTCGAACGAGAGACCCACAACTTCTTCTTGCTGCTCCAACAAAAAGTCATCCATCAGCACTAGATCATTCTTGCATTGACGCAGCTCTTCTGTGAGCTCTAGATCTGGCTTGTACTTGTCCACCTTGGAAATGGCCTTGTTGATTTTGCTTGAGACGACGAAGTATCCTTGGTAACGGGATCTCCTCTCCCAAGGTCGTTCGCAGTTCTTGATTTTGTTGCTGCTGCTCAGCTGGTCGATCTGTCGTTGGGCCACTGCCATGGCTTGTTTTAAATTGGCATTCTCTGCTTCCAGTTGTTTGGATTTGGTCTCGTAGGTTCGCAGCACATCCAATTCGGAACGCAAGTGACTTAGCATTCGAGCATCTTCCTCTCGTTGTTGCTTGAGCAGCGCCAGAGTATTTTGGAATTCTCGCAGTTTCGCGTACCGCTGTTCTTTCTCCAAGGGGCTCTTGGCCGTGGCAGCGTCTGTCACTTTAGACGACCGTCGTCGTTGACCCGAGGATACCACCCGTACAGCGGGCATGGAATCCGTCGCTGGTTTGCCCATGGTCGCTTGAACTTTTGTGGATGTTTTGGAGAACAAAGGTTTTTGTGCCTGTCTCTTCCCACCCCTTCTTGCTTGGCTCAAACAGGGGTTGACTGGGTGCGATGAGCTCACCAGTCTTGTTACGGCTCCACACTGGAAATTTTAGAAGGTGACAGAGCTGGAAATAGCCCTCAGTCGATGAACAATTCATCAATCGACTGGGGATGTGACCTAGCCACCTCTACTAGGTGAAGATCATACAAATCCATTGACATCAAACCTTACCAGCAGCCTACCTAGCTACCGGTAGCAGGACTGAGGCAACCTAGCTAGCCAGGCCAGGCCAGGCCAGTGCACAAGAGAAAGCTTTCAGAGGAGGATAAACGGGCAATTTTGACCAAACGAAACTGGTGCACTCTTCGGGACAGGTTGCGTTGAGAGCAAAGGATCTCGGACGCCAAAAGCTCTTTGCGGTGGAACCTGGGTATCCCTTGGCCTCGAATGATGCTTCCATGCTATCCCATCTTATCCCTTGCAGTAGATCCACGACTGTTACCCGTAAGTTTAAAAGTAGCTTTTCTTGTTGCTATCAATGGTGCGGATCAGAACCACGAGCGTGAATTGTCTACTACAGTCGGCAAGAATTCTTCCATTCCAACAAATATACACCACAGGAATCTCATTGTCAATCCATCAAAAAACCATTATCTATAGATTGATTAAATCTGATTATTGCCAGCACAAGGTTACAGTGGCAACGTGAGCTATGAAACAACTAATCTACCGTATCGTCTGAGACATTCTTCATGCCTACTATCGTACAATTACTCGTTTACTGTGGCTTCAAGCCTTGCTCCGAATCAGTTTTTTGGAGTGGCTGTTCTTGTAGCGCTGGATCAGCATCATCGTTATTGGCTCGCAACTCTTCTCGACGATCATTAATGACCTTGGTGAGTTTTGTAGTGGGACCCTTGAAGATCTCGACATCACTCAGTGTGTACCCATGCGTCTCTGCTTTCAGATAGGTGTCGATGCATTGTTCAGGTGCAAAGTGCGCGGGTAAAATGTCATTGGAATTGAGACTTTCTTCGGGCAACAACCCAGCGCGCTGGTAGGCTTCGGCAATGAGTTCCGAGCAAAAGAGTCGATCCAAGGCTTCCTGGTCTTTGTTGGCCTTCTTGCTCTTATTGGGAGCTCCTTTGACTATCGGGCGGGCCAATTCGGACATTCCCGCCACGCCACTATCCTCGTAGGGCCGCCCCCACATGTCTTGGACGAATTGTTCTATCTTGGCGCGTCGATCGGATGACAGCGGCTGGCCTTGTGCATCTCGTAGGCGTCGGACACATGTATACTTGCAGAATTTGCCTCGGGCAATGGCATGCTCCACAAAGGGATAGGAGAAGACCCCGCCACCCATGGCTTCAAAGACTTCCACATTGCCATAGCCCGGGGACCCTGGCAGAGGCCAATCCAGAGTGCTACTTTTGGGTTGTGGTTTGGCTTGGATAAGGGCAATTCGCTTCTGAGTAATATCGCTGTCATCATCCAATCGGACAATCATGGCAACATGATCCCAAACATTGTATGTCATGAGTTGAGCCAATTTGCCAAAGGTATGCGTGCAATGCATCAACAAGATATCTCCCGTTTGAAGGCCTTCTCCAAATACCTTAAGTTCTTCCAGACTTTCGGGAGGGGTCATGTTTTTCATCGCTTCTTCCAGGGCGGGCACAGCCTCATCATCGGCACGACCAAAGCTGGTAAAATTGGCTTTGCTATGTTGACAACCCATTCTATCTGCAGTCTTCTCGCTCTGTCTCTGTCTCTGTCTCCTCTCTTCTTTCTCTCCTTCTTGTTTCAGGATCCGGAGTCTTGATGTCTTCGGGTCTTGTGCTTCTTCAGCAAAAATTGTACCGTTTCAGTTCCGAAAGTAGTCACCATACCGAAAAAGTACTCGATTGATTCGTGCCAGTGACGCACAATGGACGGAAGCGTGACTCTCAGGAGAGGGTTAAGGCTAAAGCTTTCCAAACACGAATGATTGAAACCGGTACGACCGTGCAGGTTTCACTTACTTGCTCAAAAAAGACGAATTCCGTGAAGGGGCTTCCAAACTATCTAGCAACACGGTGGTTAGATCAAGGGATGGGAATGAGGTAGTCGTTACGGATGCTTTATGTTACGGGTAAAGCCTCCTCGAGGCCGAGGAGTTGTTCCAAAGCACATAAAACAAGCACCAAGAAGAATCAAAAGAAACCATAGTCAAACAAGAAAGAACTCACAAATATCCATTTCAACCAATGCCAGCCTTCACTACACTGACCACTCCAGCCAAGATGCACAGGACAAAGAAGTGCAGCAATGCCAAGCCCGCAAGCTCAAAGAAGCCAAACGCCACTCCAGAGAAAAGTAGACGATTCCAAAAAAGCCAAGAACGGATACACGAGTATGTCATTCAACCACCAATGGACCATCATCTGTTCGAACAAATAATGATGGACGCGGAAGCAAAGCACACAAAGCACCATGAACATGTTGACGACTCTTCGACTTCGACTGCTTACAGTCATGAATGAACCTAGAAGCTAAGTAGCTGCCTTGATAACAATGTATATTAATGACAAGACCTTGCGAACTACTCCGTGTTGCTGAACAGTAACCTGCAAACATTCGACTATCTAGCTCGTAGAAGATGTAGCACATGCCTACCGAGCGCCTCCCCTCTGCAGCTACGGCCGTGTCGGAATCTCAAACGCTGAGGATCAATACAACGAAAGCACGATACTGAGCGGCGAGAGGGGTGTGGGCTTCGCGCAGCGCACCATTATCGTCTTTCCTTTTGGTCAGATCAACCACAGGAAGTGCAGCGTTTGTGCCGCTTGCTGAAAACACATTTATCGTGTGTAGTCCAAGATGGGAAACTCGAATGGTGATGTCTTCCTCTATACGAGTACTATTTTAAAATAGTAAAATAGCGGAATCGCTCATGACAGATCACCAACCCATTCCTTCCTTCACCTCGCACGACTAACCCAAACCGTTCCGAGGCTCCACGGCTGCATCAGTCAGTTGCTCATCGAACACGGGTAAACGAATGGTGTCGGCAAAGCTTCGCTGTCTGTATCGATGGCATTCGATTTCGGTGGCTGTAAGCAACATTCGAGCGTCTCTGTGAATCACTCGCAAGCCGCTGCCGTCAACCGTTCGCTGAGACAGATGAATGCTGACTCGACTCGGAGATATTGTGTCGTGGGAGCTGAGCGTGGATCTGATTGCTGCAGCACATTGCCCTGGCAACTAACTTTTCGCATGTGCGTTTTATAGCCATTGCAGTCGCTGTCTGACAAAGCGAGGATATTGTTTGGGTTCATTTGTGCATTGCCGACTCGACTCAGGCACTAGCAAACTCATCATTGCTCCCATCAGCCGCCATGGAAATGAGCGGCGGCGGGCCGCTTTCAACATCCTCATCTGTCGGTGGTTTGATGGCAACCTTGGCCGTGCGTGTTTTACTTCCATTTGCTTCCTCAGTTGATAATTCTGCAATTATCTCAACATCCGCAGGTACATTGGAGCTGGTTGGTGCATTTGTGCTCCCTCTGTCAGTTCGAGCAAATACTGCAGTCATTGTATCCATGGGGGCCCTGCAGTACAAGCAAAAGAAGATGCGCCTGAGGATGCGGCCTTCCGGCGTTTTCATTCTCCGAAGTCTGGAGAATACAAGAAAGTTGAATGTCCCTGCAGATGGCAAGAGAATTCCATATGCCAAGCTGTCTGTGACAACATGGTAAGTCTCATCTACTGTGTATGCAATTGTCAAAACCAGATCAGGAAGGTATGCCATGATGAAGGCAAGTGTGTAGAATAGTGCCTGCTTTGCAACTGTTTGGAAACCAAATGTCAGGAGGCACAGTCATCAAAACCCAAACTTTCTTGGTCACAATGAAGATATACCTGCAGTTGACTTTTTCCGATTGACAGAGCTATTTCTCAGTGCTGAATCCCCCCTTCCCTCGTTTGACCGGGCAGCCGAAGCCCTGAAATGGGAGGATACGCCAGATGTCTGGGAAGCTCTCATCCCTCTAGAGGCAGTGACACTACCTGCGTACCGCCTGGTAGTGTTCTCGACACGACACACTCTGTACAATAAGAATCCCATGTTTTAAAATCAAGCTGAGCGGCAGAAAGGCAAATGCTACACTTGTCAGGGCTAGCTGGTGGAGTGTGGGATCCGGCCCTCGAATACAGTCATCGCCAGCACAATCTGCGGGGAAAGAATCAACCCAACATGTTGGACCATTGCTGTTGTATAACTCCAAAGGAATCGGGTAGATTGCTAGCCCCAGTGAAATGAGCCATATTACGCCATGAATCGGATATTCCCAGTCTTCCAAATCACTATCTCTCCAGTTTCGGCACACCAAAAGTATATAGAAGATTGATAATGAGTAGCTTGACATGACCGATACCATAATCCCCAGCTGGAATAAGAATCCTTGAAAGGTACATGATCCCACAGTACCTTGCCCTTCCAGCCCAAATGATGCTTCTTGAGGTGCGGCCCAAAGACCAAGAAAATAGGCCAAACTAAAGAAAATGTCTCCAATGGCCATGGCCATGAGCATCCTATTAATGGGTGTACCGCCAACTCTTCCTCTGAGTTTCTTCTCACACAAAATCTCTCGAATTATAACATAAGAACACACCAAAGAGATTAGTGAGAATGGCTTGGGAAGGTATGTCACCAGCTGCACTTCCAGTGGTGTGTAATAGTAGTCATAATAATCATCATCTCCAGAGGACAGATGATCGTCATCTCCATCTTCACGAGTGGGGCTGGTAATGTTGCTGGAGGTGCCTTGTGCATTGACAGAAGCAGCCATCAAGAGAAGCCCCAAGTAAGAGATATATCTCTGGCGCATGGTGCTTCGATGATGTGAGGTTGGATGCAGTTGATTGTCCTTTGTCCTCTTCCCTCTTGCTGTTGTTGCCTTCACTTTTGCGTTGAATTCTTCGGTTTTGGTTTCGGACACGGACGGTGACAACTGACAACGGCTCTTTCATCCAAATGCTGCTTGGACACTGTATCGGTATCTTCGTCTACTCCCACGGCCATGAAACGCCTATCCCTAACGGGAACCACAATTCTCGAAAATCGACCATGGCGCCCTCGCTCCTCGAGTCGAGTCCATTCGCTCATCCTACGGTGGTACCACTGCTGCCGCACCAGGACAAGTCGGGGTAGTCTGAACCAAAGGCACTTCCGTATAAGCCACGGCTCCCCTGGTCTCTCGGGGCCTATTCCCGATTATCTTCGACCCCACTCAAGGCCAGCCAGTTTTGTACCATGGTATTTCGCAACCAAATCAAGTTTTGGGTTATTCTTTATGGAGGTCTTCCGCCGTATTGCACTCTTCTCTGTCAGACTTAACTGATGCCTCGCAGTGACTTGGATACGAATGTGATCCCTTTGATGATGCATGTTTTCAAAGGTGTCGAAAGAAGATTGTGTGGGGACTGCCATGCGCTTTTGCTGCTGCTTATCGTTGGGCGACTGTACCGTACCATGGTGCCATTGGAGGGAGGCTACAGTACCAAGCAGAATTTGATGCACCGACGATGACCCACTGTTATTTTTGTGGGTATATTTTTGGAGATGACTACCAGTGAGCACTTCTTTGGATTGCACTGAATTGCAAAAGAAGTTGGTGGCAGTGCAGGAATCCTGTGGGCTGTCAGTCAGTCAGTCATCGCTCAATGGGGTGTCACCACCGCTATGCACGAATATCTACCTTCAGTTCGCGTGAAAAATGACTGCAGCTCTTCGGTTACGCATATATATGGATAGGTTGCCATGAATGCATTATTTGCTCGTCGGATTCTGCCTTTCATGGAACCAGGAGAAAACGAACATGCATTATTTTAAAAATGAAGCACGTTGAAACATCTCTTTCTCGAACTCTCTGGCGTGTCTTTGGAAAACCTTGGAGTTGAGCTCACAGTCTCCAAAATGAGGTTGGAAAGAGAGAACAAAGATAATTTTTGATCTACCTGAGGAAGCAGCTGTCAGCCCCACTGCTCAATCAGACGAGCCAATGTGGATCATTCCTACCTTTGTACCTGGTGGTGCAGAGAGACAACAAGTGCAAGCTAGCATTGCCAAAAGACTGCCACGAATGCAAAACGAAGTTTACTTGAATTATCCTACACGCACTGACATGGCCTCAGGGACTGCCGTACTGTGGTGGATCAATGTCTTTTTCTTGATCAGTTTGGAAGGCGGCGCACCGCTTTCAGTCAGTACGGCTAGCGTCGTAGCAGGCAAGAACGTAGGAGGCCCTCTCTCTATACCTACGGCACCACGCACAATACGGGATTTTCGTTGTAGTATATGTTTTGGTCATCGCCCCATCTAGCTAGCTATCTGAATCCGTAGTCGCACCTCGCCTTTCTCACTGGCTCGCGAAGTACGAGACGTTGTTGCGTTGCTCGCCTTGAAAATCTTTCGGTCTGCAAGTAATAAAACGAAGATCTTCGGGGCGCCAACGAACGGATCGGTCGGTTTCACCCAAAAATGGTACTCGGAACTGCATGCAGGCAGATAAAGCTAACAGTTGGTGCAACTGCCTTGAAATGCCTCCTGAGCTACATGCAGCTACTGTTCGTCGGGAGGAACCGTCACCCTCTGAGTGTGCGACGAGGAAGGCCACGAGCGCAAAAGTTGTGGGTGTTTCCTGTTGTGGGTGTGTCCTGCTTTGGGTCTACAAGCTATAGTAGCCGTCAGTGACATGAAAAATTTTGGAAATTTCAATGTGGTAGGGCGGCAGCGGGTTGCCGAGGGCACGAAATCTCACATCCGTGGTGTCGTCTTTCGTCTGGCAAAAGTCCAGACGAACCGGACGTCGCAAACAAAAAGGAGAGCAAAATTGAACAACAAAGAGAAGGGAAAGGATAGCAAATACAACAAAGCGAAGGGAAGGCAAAGTAATAATTTGTGCGACAAAAAGCTGCTAAAATATGAATATTCGCTACGGTCCGTTTTTGTTTCTAGTTTTTGTTGTTGTTGTCTCGGCCGGCCGAACAGAAAGGCTCGCAGAGCCAAGCCAATCGAACGCGACACGAAACTGAATAAATAATCCCCCAATTGATAATTTGTGTTGTCGGTTTTGAATCTTGTCGTCGAGAGCGCCATCTTGCTGGCTTGTCCTGGCCGCTCGCGTCATCAATCAATCCGCAAACAACACCTTAGGCTTCTTCGCACCACTTGTTCTCCTCGCGGACTTGAGCTTCCTCCTCCGGCTATAGCAAAAAGACGAGAAGAAAAGCGACAATGAGATGAATCACGTCTGAAAACAATGCCCGAAACAACGAAATCAAATCCAGCGGAATACGTACCGAGAAGTCATTGGTAATGTTAAAGGTGGTGCGGATATCTTCGGGGGTCTTTCCCTTGATCATGCTGGCAACAGTGGCGCAGGTCAAGTCCAAGAGCGGCTTGATATCCATATAGTTGGCGGCCAAAATCAACTCGAACAACAAGACCTGCTCGATATCTACAAACTCGGCATACCATTTTTGGACGACATCCGACATGGCGTTGCTCTTGAGGGGCTTTTCAATCTCGTTCATGGGCTCCTGGAGATGGTGCTCGCAGAATTCAATCACCTTGTGAAGGACTTGGGACTTGACATTGGGCAACGGAATTTCCTTGATATCTTCCTCTTCGGCGTCCTCGTCCATCATACTCTTGACCAGCTCGGACATTTTGGCAACGGCCAAAGGAACAGGGGAGGCATCGCCTTCGGCGCTGATGAGTTTCACGGTAGCTTCTTCGACGTCCATGGTGGAGTATAGATTTGATTTGGTTGGAAAAGTTTGGATTTGGTTTTCGTTGCTTGTTGGTGGCAGCGCGCTTCAGTTTATGAGGGCACTCCGGTTTGCTGCTGCTGCTGCTGCTCATATCTTTCGTGGGGGCGGCCGCGCGCAAAACGCACGTTTAAGAATCGTGGACGATGTCCAATGCTATCGTGGAAGAGCGTGGTTGAAACAAATAGTAGCTTGGGTGTTTACTTCTTACCAAATTATTATGATTTACCCCAACCTAGTTTCGGAACATGGCTTTCATCACGACAAACGAACCGTTTCAAAGTTGAAGCGTGGGAGTTGGGAACCAAAGCAAAGAGAGATGATGGAGAGTGACTGTCGAGGATGGGACATGTGTGTTTGGGCATGACCTGATAGGAATTGAAAGGTCATCATGGCCTTAAGAGCCACCCCAACTCGATCCTTGGTCCGTGGTTTCTTCTGTGTTTCAGTAGACGCACCTCTCGAAGGGTTTCCATTCATGATTCTTTTCGTCTTTGGGAGGCTTCGTTTGCTATTAGCTGTCTGATCCAATTTTTGGATGAATGATTCAATCGAATGTCCAATCGCGTGGGGAGTTTAGGGCGAATGGATATTGTAGGGTGCGGCGGCTCTGAGACGGGTACCAGTACCGGTAGTGCAGCTGTACTACTAAGTATTGTTATAGATAAATCTCTTGCTGTGTGGAGCTTGGCTGGACGCTCATCGTGCGAGCAAGCTGAAAGCCCACAAAGAAGGTAATTTTCGGAACGGTGGACAAGCAAGATCGCGCTTCAGACAAAATCGAACAACAGTCCAGCCAGGCAGACAAACTTTTGGGCTTGTCGAGTACCGTGTGCTTCTGCTGCATCATAGCATGCATGCACTGCCGTCGGTCAGTGTAGATCCCCAAGCTGCCTAGGTCGTTGGTGGTGTTGCTGGTTGTTTTTCGGTTGGGTCCTCTTTGGTGCACAGCCTTTCTGTTCAGTGCACATACAACCGGAACGGACCACCGGCAGCGGCAGCGGACCAGCCTTCTGCGCAGTCTCACAGCTCGGAGCTTTTCTTTCTTGGACCTTGCATGCTCAAGAGATAGAAGCTCGTTCCGGTACACGACTCGACTGACTCGACTCGACTCAAATTTGTCATGCTCGGTGCCGTCGAGAGCACGTCAGAGCACGTATCGCTAAATCTAATTCACTTGATGTACCTTAAATCAAAGATTCGTTGCAGTCATTCAGACAGAAGGACCGAACCATACTTAGATGATCACGTAAAGATCACCTGACACTGGATAGATGACCAATGACCCAATGGGGGTGCAGCTTTGTGTCAGAGTTTACGGAAACAAGTATATGAGTTGCACCTCTCTTTGGAGCATCCGGCATTTTTTCAACAATTCCAAGAACGGCATCTCACTCACTTCACGCACCAAGAGTCGAGTCAATGCCCCAGTTAATTCCGATCACACAACAAGCAAGTACATGTAGCAACAAGCAAGGCATCGCACTTCCTGCTTCCTGCTAACAAATAAGCAAGTCTCAACCCCAGCACCTCATCACGTACCAGTACCTCACCTCGCATTGAGTGATCTGTTAGGATCTCCAGCATCATCAATGTGCCCAGCGTGACTTGTTGCCGCAGCAGGTGACCACACTCATCGCTTCCGATCCCAACACAAATTGGAAAAAACTCCATTGTGACAGTACCACCACATCAACGGTTTTCATTGGCGATTCCCTCGCATTCTCAACCCAAAACCATCTCAACTTCCCAATCAACAACTTCATCCTCTCCCAATCTAGTGGTCCTTCTCTCTCTCTATCTGTCTTTCTACACGTCATGCTCGTTTACGGCGCCATGGAAGGGATCAAGTGTCGCAAAGCAGCCACAGCACAAACAATGACCAAAGACGCTGTGTACAATCCTTTTGCTCACCGCACTACTAGTGTCTGCCCCAAGGACGCACCGTACGACGATCCTCTCGACGCCAGCGATTCCAGTCTCAATTTGGAGAACATGAACGACTGCTGTTCATCGACCAAAAAGTCGGCTGCCACGACGGTCAAGATTCTGTCGCTCGTCTTGGTCGGCTTTGCCGCGGGACTCTTGTATCATTTGGTGATAGCTTCGCAATCAACGACTGCTCCAGTGTCGTCTCTGACCGAAGTAATGGAAGAACACGAATTTCTGACGGACGATTTGATCAAGAAATTGGCGTCGGCCAATCAATTTCAAGAACAAGAAATTGCCGCCCTCAAAGAACTCCTTGTCCAGCAAGAAGCAGACCGACGTTTGGAACAAGAACGCATTCGACAAGAACAACACGAGGAAGAAATGGCACGACGACGCATGGAAGACAATGAACGACAAGAACGGTGGCGTCGACAACAAATCCAACGACGACGCGATCAACAAGTGCGAGACGAACGACAACGACATCACGATGCGTTGGGCGTGTACGTTCCTCCAATGGAACAGCCGCGAGGCATGGACGCGGAACAACAGTATCAACAACACTATCACGAACAATTCCCACAACCAGCCAAGAAGATATTCGACATGACCAATCCACAAGTCGCGCAAGCAAAGATTGTGGGACACATTGATCAAGAATCGGGTCAATTTGTGCGGCACGAACGAACCAATCTTCGTGGAAACAACAATCCTCCTCAGTCATAGTCAATGAGAACGAGAACGAGAACGAGAACAGCCATTTGCGGTCGGTTTCCTGACGACCCTCGCTTCCATCTCTCCTTGCTTCCCTCCTGTCCTCACTTTCCACAACGACAAACTTCCTCGTTCCCTTTTTCGTTGGGCATCCATTTTTGGTCACATCGCACAACCACGCAACTACATTCTTCCCAACAACACACACAACGGGACACGCACATAGCCTGCGCTGTCCTGCCCTCTTCTTCAGACAATCTCCTTCCTTTCCTTTCCTTTCCTTTCTTTTTATATCAATGCATTGTTACGCTACACCACAACAACTACCTATAGAGAGTAAAACATGATAGACCTTTTTCACTTCTGTATCTTGCTTGCTGGCCCTGCTTGCCTGGCTGGTAGAGACTATAATACGTAGCAAGCTATAGCCAGGGACTGCCGTGGTCCCCTCATCATTGGCCGCTAGCTAGCTATGATAGCTGCGGGTCGTACGGTACCGTACCGTAAAGCCCACCACCAAGGGCCCTTGGCCAAATCGGAGCAGTGGTATGTGGATAGAGAAACGATAAAGTTAGACTACTAAGGTTAAGGCCACGTGGAGAAAGCAACGTTTGACTAGTTTTACAAGTGTGGTGTGTAGTTCACGTCATCATGCATTAACAGCTAGTTGCTCTTCAACCGACATTTTCGACCTCCCGAAGTCTGTCTCTAATTCCACCTTTGAGGAAGTGTGGAAGTCATCGTCAGTGGCCAAAATGGCGACCCATTGAGGCATTGCTGTAGTGACCCCAGACTGGATTCATCAAGGAGCTCGCAACACAAACAAACCAAGGACAGCTAGACTACCGAAGCAGTTTCACTTCTCCTGGAGCCTGGAATCTACAAACTCTCTGAGCCACCGTACCAGTAAAAAGAATCGGAAGATGGCTACCAAGGACGAGGTACAAAAGATTGCTGATGGCCTCGCCGCTACGGCGACGAGCAATGGCGGCAGCTCCGGTAACAACAGGACAGATGACTACGTTGACGAAGATGATGACCTGAGCGATGTGTTTTCGACTGTGAATGACAATGAAGATTCTCACGAAGAAGAAAAAAAGACTTCCAAACAGAGAAAGGCGGAAGAAGCCATGCTGGTTCAGGCAACCCAAGAGAACAAGGCTGTGTGGACATTCCGTTTGCTGACCACCTTGGTTTTGGTGGTAGTTGCTGTGACCATCTGCTTGGTCGTGGCCCTCAATGAGAAGAATAATGAGAAGAAGGACTTTGAAACTGCCTTTCAAGAGTTGGGTGGGCAGCTTGTGGCCACTTTTGAGTCTCATGTGGTCCAGCGCATGGGAATTGTGGATAAGTTCTCCATGGAACTAACTTCGGAATGTGAAACTGATGTCAATTGTACTTGGCCCTTCGTCACTCCTGCTAACTACCAAGTGCGAGCCGCCAAATCGGGCGAGCTCGGCAAGTTGGCACAACTCTTTTTGTTGCCCAGGGTCTACACAGAGCTAGATGATGAGTGGGTGGCATATACACAAGAAAACCAAGGCTGGATTGTGGATAGCCTGAGAGCAAACGGTGCAGTAGAACCCATTGAAGCTGTGCCAGTTCCTCCCTTTGTCTATAATATTGAAGATGGAAAACCCTCACCCATGAATTCCAGCTTGTGGGATCAGTACTTTCCGATGTGGGTACAGTGGCCTATTGCCAAGAGAACGTTCGCGAACTTCAATCCATATGGCAATGGAGATGCTGGCAGGCTTCAAATTGATGCTGTTTATGAGACTGGGATGCCCTCATTTCCAAGATCCATTGATTGGTGGGAGGAATTTGACACACGTGACAAAAATCACATCTTCAGGCTAATCAAATCTGTCTACCCCGGTATGCGTACCACGATACTGTTGCACAGTTCTTTGACTTTCCAGGTCACTCTCACATTTGTCACCGATGATCTCTCCTCTATTCTTTCCAGACTATAATGGAGATCCATTGTATACGGGCTGTTTCCCTGTTTGGAATAGTGTGGACCCCAATAATGATGAAAAGGAAATTGTTGGGGTGATCCAGGGAGGAGTGATTTGGAACACATACTTTGAATCCATCTTGCCCGAAGGAACCAAGAACATCACTGTTATTCTTGAGAATCAGTGCAACCAGACCTTCACCTATAATGTTGGTGGTGAGACTGGAGAATTCCAAGGGCCAGAAGACTTGCACGACCCCAAGTATGACTACCTTGAGCTGGGCAGCAACATCAACGATGTCATTGGAATTGATCGAGATCAGTTCACTGTGACTCGCGGAAACTGTGATTACAGCATTCGTGTCTACCCATCCAATGAGTTTGAGGAGTCCTTCTACACAAACAGACCCACCACTTATGCCCTGGCCTTGGCCTTTGTGTTCATCTTCACATGCTCTGTCTTCCTCCTCTATGATCGCATGGTGGAACTCCGACAAAGGAAGGTTATGAAGTCAGCCTTACAATCGGGAAAGTTAGTTTCTTCCTTGTTTCCTGAAGAGGTACGTGTGGACAGTCAAGTAGAACAGGACAGCCTTTGCCCCCCTTCTCAACTGGACATTCATGGTCCATGCACCTCTTTTGCAACTTTCTATTGCAGGTTCGAAACCGTCTCTTTGAAGAAGAAGAGGCCAAGAAGAATGCTGATCAACGGGGCTGGAAAAAGCAACCGTCTGATGATGACCTTGCAGATCTTGCTTCGGTTGCTGCAAAACAGTCCCATGCCATTGCCTCTCTCTATCCTGAAACAACAATCTTCTTTGCTGGTAAGACAATTGTGAGGCCCAGACGCTAGGGATTGTGGCAATTTCTAACACCTAGTTTCTTCTTGCGTCCCGTGTTACAGACCTTGCTGGTAGGTGATGGTGACAAGTAGACATGTATCCCAGAGCTCACTTGAATCTCCACTAATGCCAATGGTGTTTTCCCATGCGGTTGCATCTGCAGGGTTTACAAAATGGTCTTCATCTCGTACTCCCATTGAGGTGTTCGACTTGTTGGAGACGGTGTACGGCGAATTTGACAAATTGGCCAAGCGATACAAAGTCTTCAAAGGTACATCACAGTAGCACTGTTGCCAAGGTGGATGCTTGTGTGAGAAATCATCTGATCCTTCCTCTTTTGCTGTTGGCTGTGTAGTCGAGACAATTGGGTAAGTTTAGGAATTTGTGAGGACAGTTTCCCGTACCTCTCCTTGACCTAATCATCACCTGGGCTCTTGTAACTCCCAAAGGGATTGCTATGTGGCTGTCACTGGTAAGTCCTAGGGGACAGGTAGAAGATGCCTTGTGATGAACTATGTTTCCCACATTCTCAACCCCCGCCCTTGTTCCACAGGTCTTCCCAAGCCTCAAGAAGATCATGCGTTGTGAGTAATTTGAAACAGAAGTTCATAGCTGACTCAAGTGGAAGCAGTATTGGAATCAGAATGTTGAATCTTCTCATTTTCTGCTGCCTGTCTCAATCCATGGTACTTGTTACACAGGCTGATGTGCAAGTTTGCCCGCTCGTGCATGGCTAAGTTCCAGCTTGTGACGGTAGATCTCTCGGATACGCTAGGCGAGGACACCAAATTATTGGAAATGAGAGTTGGTCTCCATAGGTAAGAGTGCTGGTATCTTCGCTCTGGGTTGCCGGGGGATGCAGCTCATCTTGACTCTTTGCTCTTACAGCGGTCCTGTTACGGCCGGGGTACTCCGTGGAGACAAAGGTCGATTCCAGGTAAGATGGATGGGTCATTCTCTAGTCAGCCTATATTGGGTTTCTCTTAACTAATCAGTTGCTACATGATTCTACAGTTGTTTGGCGATAGTGTCAACACTGCCAGTCGAATGGAGAGCAATGGGGTGAAGGGAAAGATCCATTGCAGTGAAGCTACTGCTGAGGCTTTGCGCAAAGCACGAAAACAAAACTGGCTGGTCCCCAGAGAAGATAAGATTGTGGCAAAAGGCAAAGGTGAAATGTAAGACATAAGATGGTTGAAAAGATCCAACGAAGCCTATTTTGTTTGATCCTCATGTGCTGCTTGATTCTGTCTCTTCCCATGAAACAGGCAAACATACTGGGTTGAAATGTCTGGGCTAGCAGCAACAAGTACATCAGGTTCTGTGCTGTCCGGGATTCATTCCATCGAGACCCCAGAACAAAGCACCCCGACACCATCGTCTCATGCTTCCATGCCGCTTCGAAACAATCCCAACCAGCAGCAGGATCTAGAGGGAAGCAAAAGTGGCATTGAGTGCTAGAACTTCCCGTGGCATCTCCTTTTGAAAACTATTCCAACTGGGACGGGCGCCAGAGCCTCACTTGCGTGTGAAAGTACGGTACAGTACTAGTGGTAGCAGTGGTGGGCAATGCACAAGGTCTACAAGCTTACAGTACCGGTACAGTTGGCCAAGAATGCAATTGATGCTCGTTATCTTTTAATTAATGCACATCGTCACGATTCGATTCCCCCATGAATTCGTGCTGGAGCACTTGGAACCCCAGAATTGGCTAGTACCTTGGTTCGATGGTCCGTTGCGTCGTCTAGTCGGCCATACCGTAGCGGTAACTCGCCACCATGCCGTGCTGTTGAGGCTGGTTTCATTGTTCCTCCAATATCGCCCATGCTAAGAAGGCGCCGCCGAACGAGTTTCATTTTGCGGCTAACGCGCTTGAGGACCCAGTGCCACGGGAAAAGATCCCTGCAGTGCGTGGTCTCCCATAGAGCGAGTTTCGTCGACCCTTTCGGTCCGGAGCTCTTGGTAAAAGCAAACAGCCATTCCTACACAGAGTCCAGCAACGAGGACAGCAGAACAGCAAACAATCTACTGCCGACGGCAACCACATCGAAATTCTTCGCTACGGTTAGATCTAGATCCACATTATCGCTTCGGGGGCAAAAGGGTCGCCCTCACGAGCATTGTGGCAGCTTTTGTGGCCATGTTCTCTCGCCTCGACTAGCTAGCTGGCTTCCCAGCGGCCAATAGCCCAGCCACTCTCGTTCTTCGACTCTTCGACTGCAGGCCTTCTTTTCTTTGTAAGAGACATGTGCGGTGAATGCTCCTTTCTCCTAAGTAGTTAAGTAGTTGCCTGCAGCAGCACAGGAACGACGTGCGCTTCTCAGAACCTTTCCTAACCAGCCATTTTTTCGTCCGTGCGTACGCGAAATCAAGGCTTGCTTTCCCTCCATTTCCATGAAAGCTGTGGTACGGTGAATCATTGATTTCCCATTCTTAATTCGCCGTACCGCAGCTTTCATGGAAATGGATTTCGCGTAGGACCAATCAGAACGTTATTAGAGCCAGCCGATCTCAACCAATCCCACAAATCACTAACTCTAATCGGCAAGCATTTCGAATTCGGTACTGTACCGGTAGCAACACTGCGTTCGATTGCAGCTACTAGCTAGCTACCAACAGACCAATCTCGACAACCAAGAAGGTTAACAAGTAACCTAAATGCTAATAACTTTGCTAGCCTTCTTGGTTGTGAAGATTGGTCTGTTGGTAGCTAGCTAGCTAGCTAGCTAGCTAAGCTAATTACGTCTCCTG